TGGAGTAACCTGTGTCACAGTCTTTTGGGTATATCCCAAGAGTGGTATTGCTGGATCAAATGGTAGATCAATGTTTAGCTTTTTAAGTAGCCTCCAAATTTTTTTCCAGAGTGGTTGTACTAGTTACATTCCCACCAACAGTGTAAGAGGGTTCCTTTTTCCCCGCATCCTCCCAACACCTGTTGGTGGTGGTGTTGCTAATGATGGCTATTCTAATAGGGGTGAGATGGAATCTTAGTGTGGTTTTAATTTGCATTTCCTTTATTGCTAGAGATGGTAAGCATTCTTTCATGTGTTTTTTGGCCATTTGAATTTCTTTTTTGAGAAAGTTCTGTTTAGTTCACTTGCCATTTCTTTATTGGTTCATTAGTTTTGGGAGAATTTAGTTTTTTAAGTTCCCATATATTCTGGTTATCAGTCCTTTGTCTGATGTGTAGCTGGCAAATATTTTCTTCCATCTGTGGGTGTTCTCTTCAGTTTAGAGACCGTTTCTTTTGTTGAGCAGAAGCTTTTTAGTTTTATGAAGTCCCATTAATCTATGCTATCTCTTAGTTGCTGTGCTGCTGGGGTTCCATTGAGAAAGTTCTTACCTATACCTACTAATTCCAGAGTATTTCCTATTCTTTCCTGTATCACTTTAGAGTTTGTGGTCTGATATTAAGATCCTTGATCCATTTTCAGTTAATATTGTTATAGGGTGATAAACATGGATCTAGTTTCAACTTTTTGCAGACTGCTAAGTAGTTTTCCAGCAGTTTTTCTTGAAGAGGCTGCTTTTTCTCCATCGTATATTTTTAGTCCTTTGTCAAAGACAAGTTGGTTATAGTTGTGTGGCTTCATATCTGGGTCCTCTATTCTGTTCCACTGGTCTTCATGTCTGTTTTTGTGCCAGTGCCTTACTGTTTTTATTGTTATTGCTTTGTAATATAGTTTGAAGTCGGGTATCGTGATACCTCCAGCATTGTTTTTTTGACTGAGTATTGCCTTGGCTATTTGTGGCCTCTTGTGTTTCCATATAAATTTAACGGTAGATTTTTGAATCTCTTTAATGAATGTCATTGGAATTTTGATGGGAATTACATTAAACATGTAGATTACTTTTGGGAGTATAGACATTTTTACTATGTTGATTCTACCAATCCATGAGCATGGGAGATCTCTCCACTTTCTATAGTTTTCCTCAATCTCTTTCTTCAGAAGTTTATAGTTTTCCTTGTAGAGGTCTTTCACATCCTTTGTTAGGTTTACACCTAGGTATTTGATTTTTTTTGAGGCTATTGTAAATGGAATTGTTTTCATACATTCTTTTTCAGTTTGTTCACTATTAGTGTATAGAAATGCTAATGATTTTTCTATGTTGATTTTATATCCTGCTACCTTGCTATAGCTATTGATGGTGTCTAGGAGCTTCTGAGTAGAGTTTTTTTGGGTCTTTAAGGTATAGGATCATGTCGTCTGCAAATAAGGATATTTTGACAGTTTCTTTACCTATTTGTATTCCTTTTATTCCTTCTTCCTGCCTAATTGCTCTGGCTAGGAATTCCAGTACTATGTTGAATAGGAGTGGAGATAGTGGACAACCTTGTCTAGTTCTTGATTTTAGAGGGAATGGTTTCAGTTTTTCTTCGTTAAGTATAATGCTGGCTGTAGGTTTGTCATATATAGCTTTTATAATGTTGAGATACTTTCCTTCTATTGCTAGTTTTCTTAGAGCTTTTATCATGAAATGATGTTGGATCTTATCAAAGGCTTTTTCTGCATCTATTGAGATGATCAAGTGGTTTTTGACTTTGTTTCTGTTAATGTGGTTTATTACGTTTATTGATTTTCGTATGTTGAACCACCCCTGCATCCCTGGGATGAAGCCTACTTGGTCGTGGTGAATGATCTTTTTGATGTGTTGTTGAATTCGGTTTGCCCTTATTTTGTTGAGGATTTTTGCATCAATGTTCATTAAGGAGATTGGCCTATAGTTCTCCTTTTTGGAGGTGTCTTTGCCTGGTTTTGGATAAGTGTAATACTGGCTTCATAAAATGTGTTAGGCAGTTTTCCTTCCCTTTCTATTTCGTGGAACAGTTTAAGGAGGGTTGGTATCAGTTCTTCTTTAAAGGTCTGATAGAATTCAGCAGAGAATCCATCAAGTCCTGGACATTTCTTTTTGGGGAGACTCTTGATTGCTGCTTCAATTTCATTTTGTGTTATAGGTCTATTCAGGTGATTAATATCCTCTGGGTTCAGTTTTGGATAATCATATGTATCTAGAAATCTGTCCATTTCTTTAAGATTTCCAATTTTTTTGAATATAGGTTCTCAAAGTAGTCTCTGATGATTTCCTGGACTTCCATGGTGTTTGTTGTTATCTCCCCGTTTGCATTCCTAATTCTACTAATTTGGGTTTTTTCTCTCCTCATTTTAGTCAGGTTTGCCAGGGGTCTGTCGATCTTGTTTATTTTTTCAAAGAGCCAATTTTTTGTTTCATTAATTCTTTGTATGTTTTTTTTGGTTTTTATTTCATTGATTTCAGCTCTTATTTTTATTATTTCTCTCCTTTTTGTTTTGGGATTTGCTTGTTTTTGTTTTTCTAGGAGTTTGAGGTGTATCATTAGTTCATTGATTTGGGATCTCTCAGTCTTTTTAATATATGCACTCATGGCTATAAACTTTCCTCTCAGGACTGCCTTTGCTGTGTCCCCGTAGGTTCCGGTACGTTGTGTTTTCATTTTCATTGACTTCCAGGAACTTTTTAATTTTCTCTTTTATTTCATCAGTGACCCATTGTTCATTAAGTAATTAGTTATTCAGTTTCCATCTGTTTGCATGTTTTTTGTCTTTACTTTTGTTGTTGAGTTCTAGTTTTATTGCATTGTTATCAGATAGTATGCACGGTATAATTTCTATTTTCTTATATTTGCTGAGGCTTGCTTTGTGCCCTAGGGTATGATCTATTTTGGAGAAGGTTCCATGGGTGCTGAGAAGAATGTATATTGTGTAGAAGTTGGATGAAATGTTCTGTAGACATCAACTAGGTCCATTTGGTCTATTGTATATTTTAGATCTTGAATATCTTTATTGATTTTTCTTTGATGACCTATCTGTTGTTGATAATGGGGTGTTAAAGTCTCCCATAACCACTGTGTTGGAGTTAATATATGCTTTTAGGTCTTTCAGGGTATGTTTGATGAAATTGGGTGCATTGACATTGGGTGCATATAGGTTGATAATTATTATTTCCTTTTGGTCTATTTCTGCTTTTATTAGTATGGAATGTCCTTCTTTATCTCTTTTGATAAATGTAGGTTTGAAGTCTACTTTGTCAGAGACAAGTATTGCTACTCCTGCCTGTTTTCGGGGGCCATTGGCTTGGTAAATCTTCTTCCAGCCTTTCATCCTAAGCCTATGCTTATTTCTGTCAGTGAGATGGGTCTCCTGTGAGCAACAAATTGTTGGATTTCATTTTTAATCCATTTTGTCAAGTGGTGCCTTTTGATGGGTGAATTAAATCCGTTAACATTAAGTGTTAGTACTGATAGGTATGTGGTGATTCCTGTCATTTAGTTGTCTTAGTTGTTTGAAGGTTTGATTGTGTGTACCTAAGTTGAGGTTTCTCTCTACTTTCTTGCTTTTTCTTTTCCTGTAGTTTGGTGCTGCCTGTCCTTTCATGGTTATGTTGGGTTTCACTTTCTGTGTGCAGAATCCCTTGAAGAATGTTTTGTAGTGGTGGCTTTGGCTTTCTGTGGTGCAGACTTGAAGAATATATTTAGTTTCTGCTTATCATGGAAGACTTTTATTGCTCCATCTATTTTGAATGATTGTTTTGCTGGGTAGAGTATCCTGGGGTTGAAGTTATTTTCATTCAGTGCCCGGAAGATCTCTCCCCAAGGTCGTCTTGCTTTTAATGTTCCTGTTGAGAAGTCTGCTGTGATTTTGATGGGTTTGCCTTTGTATGTTATTTGTTTTTCTCTCTTATAGCCTTCAATATTCTTTCCTTAATATCTGAACTTGTTGTTTTAATGATGATATGTTGTGGTGTAGTTCTATTTTGATCAGGTCTGTTTGGTGTCCTGGAGGCCTCTTACATCTGTATGGGAATATCTTTCTCTAGATTTGGGAAATTATCTGGTACTATTTTGTTGAATATATTACACATTCCCTTTGCTTGCACCTCTTCTCCTTCTTTAATGCCCATGATTCTCAAGTTTGGTCTTTTGATGGAGTCGGTGAGTTCTTTCTTGAATTTTATAATCTACAAATCTACAAATTGGAACCTAAAGATTAAAGTTGGGCATAGTGGCACATGTCTGTAATTCCAGCACTCTGGAGGTTGAGGCAGGAGAATTGTGAGTTCAAGGGCAGTGCAGGCTACATAGTGAGTCCCTGGTCTCAAGGAAAAAAGAACACAAAAAACTTTAAAATTTAAGAGCTTGTCACTCTCTCATAACAACAAAATATTGATGATCATTTTCAATGACTTCACTTAAAGTGCTGGTTGCATACCATTTTGGTCCTTTAGTGTCCTTGTGTAAGTGGAGGTGATAATAGCATTTAAGTATTAATGGCCCAATCTTGTGAAGTGCTAAGAAAAGCACTTGGTGCACAATAAGCTCTGCGTAAGGGCCACCTGTTGACCTGTTGTGGCATTCTATAAATGAGTGACCCAGTTAGCCAAAGTGCAAGTTAATTTGCTGAGATAGAATCCCAGAACAAAAATTCCTTTTTTTTTTTTTTTTGTGTGTGTGTGACTGGGGTTTGAATTCAGTGTTTCGTGCTTGCAAAGCAGGTGCTCTACCACTTGAGCCACATCTCCGGTTCCCCAAACTTGCTTTTTTTCTAACAGACAAGCATGAAACACTTGAGTCTTTAGTCTGGAAGGCATCTTGGATCCATCTTCACTGTGCCACTGTGTCTACCTTCTCTGCATTTGTCTTCTTAGCTGAGTTAACCCCAAGATTCTGAGCAGCTCTGGTGATCTGAGATTATGTGCTGTGGAAATCTGATTTCAGGACACCTCATACCTGTTTATCACTGGCCCTGATGTTGTGAAGTCTGTCACCAATGAGGATGTCACCCAGGAGCAGCTTGGTGGTGCCAAGACCCACACCACCATTTCAGGTGAGTAGTCTGAAGATGGCTTTGCTGTTCTCAGTGAGAGGAGGCATTGCCAAACAGAATGGTGAAAGTTTTTAAAACATAATTCCTTGTTTGACAGGACTTACTCAGGAAGGCTATAATGTAGTTCATTGTTTGAAGACACAGTGATGAAGGTAGATTTAGAATTTCAAATTTCTTAGAATAAACAATAGTCTACTATTAATGCTTTGATGTTAGTGAGACTCCATTCTCAACCACCTAACTAGATGTGATGGTGTGTACCTGTAATCCCAGCCACATGGGAGGTGCTATAGGATCATGGTCCAAGCTAGGCCAGGAAAAAACAGGAGACCCTTCTGGAAAAAGAACTGGAGTGGAAAAGGCTGGAGTGATGTCTCAAATGGTAGAGCACCTGCCTACCAACCACAAGGCCCTGAGTTTAAGCTGCAGTAACACACACACACACACACACACACACACACACATAACACACACACACCCTTACACACACACACACACACCCTTGATCCCCAACTCCCCAAATTATTTTCTTCCCTGTTCAGGTTGTACCAGCAGTTCTACGATCTGAGCACTTCTAACTGACTCCACCACAGCTTGCCATTCTCACCCTCTTGACTGGGCATAATTTGCAGTGGTTTGTCTTACTGTGTTGTAAAATATGTCAATTAAAAAGAAAATCACTAAGAATTTCAGCATTCATAACTTATCACCACTGAGGTTTTGGTTATACCATTATGCCCTGTAGTGTTGCGCACATGAATGTGAAGACATACATATACACAATACTGAACACAGGTCCATACATATACTTCTTGTACCTTTTTTTTTTTTTTTTTTTTGCACTTGACAACGTAAAGAAGTGAATGTCTGCCCATGACATTAAGTTTTTTTCTTAGCCAGGCACTGGTGGCTCGTGCCTACAATCCCACCTACTTGGGAGGCTGAGATAAGGAGTATCAAAGTTTGAGGCTAGCCTGGTAAAGTAGTGTGAAAGAGCCCATCTGGTGAATCAGAGCAAAATGGACTGGAGGTGTGGCTTGAGTGATAGAGCACCGGCTTCGCAAGCATGACGCCCTGAGTTCAAACTCCAGTCCTTCTCCCTAACCCCCCAAAAAGAAGTCTTTGGTAACATAATTTTACCAGGTTTTTCTTTTCTCCTTTCTGGGCCTGAGACTCTTTGATGGGCTGTGAGTCAGCTGTTTGATCCTGTATAACGTGAGCAAGGCCCAAAAGTTGCTGTATACATCCATTTTCGGTCTTGTCCTCTCCTTTCTTTCCTCCTTTCCTGGTAATCCACCATACAGTTTAAATGTCTATTTAAAGTGTTCAGTTCAGTGGTTTTTTAAATATTCAGAGTTGTATAAACCTTCCCCCAATTAGTTTTGGAACATTTTCATTATCCCTCAAACAAACCCTGTAGCCGTTTGCAGTCACACCCCATTGTACTCCATTGCTCTAGGCAGTGATGGGTCTACTTTCTGTTTTATGGATTTGCCTCTTTTGGAGCATTCATAGAAATGGAATCCTACAACATGTGGTCTGTTGTGACTGGTTTATTTTAAGGGGAGGGTTTGAACCCAGAGCCTTACACTTGCTAGACAGGTGTTCTACCACTTGAGCCACGCCCTCAGCCCTTTTTTCTTTAGATATTTTTCAAGTTGGGTCTTGCATTTATGTCTAGGCTGGTCTAAATCACAATCCTCCTATTTACACTTCCCGCATAGCTGGGATGACAGGTGCATGCCAATATGCCCAGTTTTTATTGGTTGAGATGGGGTCTTGTGATCTTTTTGCCCTGGTTGACCTCAAACTAAGATCTTCCCAGTCTCTGCCTCCTGAGGTGCTAGGATTACAGACATGAGCTGGGCTGTGACTGGTTTCTTTTACCTAGGGAACAAAATGTTTTTCCATATTATATCACAAATCAGTAGTACTTCATTCCTTTTTTATGACTGATGATACTGTATAGATATTTTTTTTCTTTTCTTTGAGACAGGGTCTTGATATGTAGCCCAGGCTGGCCTTGAACTTAGATCCTCCTGCCTCTCTTTCTCTAGAGTTGGGATTTTTAGCTATGTGGCCACCATGCTCAAATTTTCTCCTTTTTTTTTTTTTTTCCATGGTGGTGGGGACCAAGCCCAGGACCTCTTGCATGCTGGAGAAGAGCTATCCTGCTGAGCTGCCCCCCTCACCCTACTGTACTTCATCTATCAGTCAGTGAATAAACATTTGGGTTGTTCCCAATTTTTGACTATCATAAATCTTCTACTATAAACATTATGTACAAGTTTTTATATGGACCTTTGTTTTCATTTGGCATTGGTATATAGCTTTTGGGGTGAAATGATACCTCTTGAACTTTTTTTTTTTTCTCAGATACTGGGTTTTGAATTGAGGGTTTTGTCTTGCAAGGCAGGCACTCTACCACTTCAGCCACACCTCTGGCCCTTTTTGCTCTGGTTATTTTTTTCTTTTTCTTTCTTTTGCCCAGGCTGTGATCCTCCTGTTTTAAGCTTCTTGCCATTGCTGGGATGACAGGCATATGTCACTACACTTAGCTTTTTTCGCAATGAGATTGGGGTCTTAAAAACTTTTTTGCCCAGACTATGCTGTCCTGGAACCGCAGACCTCCCAGTCTTAGCCTCCCACATATCTTGGGATGACAGGTGCATATCACTGTGCAACTATTTGTTGAGATGGGATTTTTTGGCTTGGGTTGGCCTTGAACCATGATCCGCCCGATTTCAGCCCCCTATGAAGCTAGGATTACAAGATGAGCCACCAGTACCTGGCTCCTGTTTAACTTTTTAAGGAACTGCCAGACTATCTTTTAAAGTGGCTGTATTAATTTATAAACTCTTCTTCAATGAAAGAATTCTGTCATGTTGAAAATGCTTTTTATTCATTGAACAAATATTCATTGAGTATCTGAGTGTGAAATATTATAGGTGCTAAGAATATGTCTGTGAATAGAACAGCAATAAAACTTCCTGCCCATATGGAACTTATATTCTAGTAAAAGAGATAGGTAATATAAAACATAAATATGTTGTATAGTGCTTTAGAAGTTAAAGGTGCTGTGGAAAAAAGTAAAACAGGGTAAAGAGATTGGGATTGTTGAAGTTTCAAGTAGGGTAGAAGGATAGGTCTCACTGTGAGGTTAACAGCTGATCAGATTTGAAAGAGTGCACTATGGGTATCTAGGGAGGAGTGCTGCAGGCAGAGGCAGCAGCTTATACAAAGGCCCTAGGGGAAGGGAGTGACTCAGTGGACAGCATGGAGGGTTGTTGGAATAGACAGGCATGATTTGGTTTTTTAAAAAGTTCCTTCTCACTGCTGTGTGGAAAGAGGTAGTCTGGTGAGGCAAAACTGAGAGCTCCCAGCTCCACTTTCTGCAGCGCAGCTCTGGCCTTGTTGAACTGCTCTTTATTTCAGAGCTCTCTTCAGGAACAGTGACTGACTCCTTACAGTGCCATGGAGCTCCCCACCTTGCTCTCCACCATTGCTGAGCACCCATTGTGCTCCAGGCACGGTTCTTGTGATAAGAATAAGGGAGGAGTCCTGTAGCAAATAGGGAAAAGCATGTGGTCCAGCATGCAGGAACAGAAGTGAGGGGCAGGAGCAAGAGGCTGTGTGAGTTGAAGCTCAGTCCAAAGGTACATGGTGCATTGTGACCTGTCTTTCTCTAAACCTTCCAGGACAGAGCTGTCACCACAGTCTGCTGACCTGCTCAAGAAGGGAACAGAGGGCAGGAAGCAGCGTCTTCTGGCTGACGGTCCCCTGGCCCAGCTTACTCTTCCTGTTTTTTTCAGGTGTGGCCCACAGAGCTTTTGAGAATGATATTGACGCCTTGTGTAACCTCCGAGACTTCTTCAACTACCTGCCCCTCAGCAATCAGGACCTGGCTCCAGTACGCGAATGCCATGATCCCAGGTAGGTTGTAGGCTAGTGGCCCTTCTTCCATTTTGCAGGATGGCTTGTCCTTCTTTGGCCTCTCTCCCCTGTCTGGACCTGCTGGACTGTTGGGCAGTTTGGAGCGGGCAGTGTAGTGTAGTGAGCAAGGCTCTCAGTTATGGGGAAGATGGTGGTATATCTGGGTACAAGAGCAATGAAAGGAGATTTATTCACCCTCTTCCCCTCTACATTATCTGATGGGAAGTTTTGTGGGTATCGGATCGCAAAATTTTCTATAATAGTCTTGAGTTGTCCAAACTGCGAGGTGGAAGGTTTTTTGGTCTTGATGTGAGATAAACAAATATGAAGAGACACAAACTGAATGGGTTTGTGGACACTGCTCCTGGCCAGAGGCAGAGGTAGGACGAAGGAATGTGTGCTGCTGGGTGCCTAGTCATGACCTTCATTCCCTCTTGCTTTAGGGGCCACTGCCTGACATGGGGAGAGGGTACCACAGAGGAAGGTGGAGGAACCACCTGGAGAAGAGCTGCTCCACATCTCTGTCTGCTCTGTTTTGTTTTCTGTCCAAATTTGAACTACCTGTACTCACTTGGTCTGGGCTTTCTTCTGTGGAAGGGTTGTCCCTTGGGAAGAGGCCATCATTAGATGACACTGTCTTATAACTTGGACCTGGGCTTCTGCCTATGGAGGCTAGCTCACTGGGCTTCACCTTCAGGGCTACCCTGAAGTCTTTTCTCCAGAGCTCCACTCCTCAGGGGACAAACCAGGTGGTCATAAGGCCCAGAAACTATGGGCACAACCTCTTGAGCACCTGTACTATTTGGAGTTTGAAGGTTTTAGGGCAGCACGTGAAGGTGTTATTATGGTGCAGGAGTCCAGAAGTGTCTCAGTGCCCTGCTTTGGCTCAGTGCCCTGCTTTGGCTCAGAAAGGCATATGAGTTTCAGGAAGTTGAGCTGTGATCACCCAGGCCATGTCTCATTTACTACAGTCCTTTAGTGCCCGCACTGTGTTTAGAATATAAGGGAGTCAAAGGAGAATAAACTCATTTTTTTCTCTAAAAACTGGAAGGTCTTTTGGGTTGGTATTAGACTCTGGTTCCATTTAAGGGTGTGATTTCTGTATAAGTTCAGCAAGGACAAAACTAGCCAGGCCCTCTATCGTGTCTCATATTTCTTTCCCAACCCTCCACCTATAGAAGGTAACTGGCTCTTCCTATGTTGACTCTACCTGTTTTTTTTCTAGTAACCGGCTGGTTCCTGAGCTTGACACAATTGTCCCTTTGGAATCTACCAAAGCCTATGACATGCTGGACATCATATATGCGGTAAGTGCAGCATTTGCCTATTTCACCTGCTCTCATTCAGCCACATCCGTGGTCAGTGTGCTTTGGCCTAGTGAGGAGGTATTGGACATGGCCATGCTGTCAGTTGTATGGGTGGGGAATGAGGCTGGCACAGGACCTGGGGCTCCCAGTTTGTGTGATGTGGGAGGAGCTCGTGGCTATAGATATTGAGGACTAGCAGGAGGGGCAGGGGGAAGGCAGTTGGGCCAGTGGAGCTCAGGGGTTTTTCAGAAGGCACTCTGAGGTGCATAGATTAGGGGCCATGTCTTCAGTCTGGGTGAGGCAGGAATGATCCTTGTTTGCTATTGTGCTTAGGGGCTGTATAATCAGGGCACTTTGTCTCTTAGAGAAGGCTTAACACAGGGCATCCTGTGTTAAGGTCAGGATGACATGTGTGTGGACATCTGTGGTGGAAAAGAGCCACTCATACTTTTTCTTGGAATAGTATATTCCCAGGTTGTCTAGAAGGGACAGCATTGGGCAAACGGGGGGCATCTGGAGAGGCAACTGCTGATGGTCACATCTTCCTCACATAGCAGTTCTTCCTTAATGGAAAGTAGATGGCTCTCCCATGACCTGTTCCTACTTCTCTTCCCTTATTTGGGGAGCCCATGAAGTGAGCAGTGTGGTCAGATTCTTCCCTTCCTCACTGCTGTATTCTGGAGTATGGGGCACCTTTAGAGCTGTGAAGATTTTATGACCCTATTCAGTTTTCCTTGTGTCCCCAGAGATCAGACATGTAGAAGATGGTGTCAGAATGGCTATGCTAGTCAGCTTTACATCATTGTGACAAAATACCAGAGATAATCGACTTATAAGAAAGGAAAATTAATTTTGACTCAAGGTTTCAGTCCATTGTCACTTGGTTTTTCACTTTGGGCCTGTGGTGGGGCAGGACTTCATGGTGGGGGAGCCTGTGGTAGAACAAAGTCACTCACCTCATGGTATTGGGGAACAGAGGAAGGGACTGGGGTCCCCATATCTTCCTTAACAGTATGACCCAGTTACTTAACTTGTGTTCACTGGGCACCTGTGCCCTATTCTCTACCCTATTATTATCTCCCTCACTTGTCCTGGGACCTGATCCCAGCCCTGACAACTTCACCATTCCCCACTCTGACCAGGTGGCATGGACACTTCCTTCCTAGAGACCTTGAGAATATCAAGTTCCTTAGTCTTCACAGGGAGTGACACATCACCCTTTCCCCACCACAAATAAGCAAACACCTAGCCCTAAAAAGCTAGCAGAACAGAGAATAGTAAACATTAGGATGTGGGCTAGAGATAAGGCTCAAGTGGTAGAGCATCTGTCTAGTAAGTGCAAAGCCCTGAGTTCAAACCCCAGTACTGTCAAAAAAAAAATTGGGGAATAGAATATAAAATTTGCATACAGAAATGAATAGTCTTTAAATGCACAATCAGTAACCAATTATAGGAGAATATAAGCCTCTTTGCATAAAATAATTTGAAAAGGAAATATACAAAAGCTATATGGGACAAATTTAAAAATTGTGAAAAACACAAAAGTAGACCTGAACAAAAACAAAGATGCCCCTATACTTTGAAACTGAGTTAACATAAAATGTTAGTTCTTCCTAAAGTAGTTCATAAATTGGCATTCCCAATGAACACTTTTTATAGAACTAGACAGGTACGTATATAAGTTCATATAGAAAAAAATCAAAGTGCAAGAATCCCCTGGGGATATTCTGCAAACCCATGAGTGGGAACGGTCACATCTTGTATTAAAGCACTTGTTGGTTAAAGCAGAATTGCACTGGCTCGTGAAGAGACCAGTGGGACAGACCAGAAAAGGCGGACGTAGATGCAGTAGAATTGTAATATGTTACAGATGTTATTCCAAAGCCCACAAGCAAAGACTGGCTTTTTAATAAATGATGTTGGCATAGCTGGATAGCTGCTTAGAAAGGTATGACATTATATCCACACTTATATCATGTACAAAATAAACTTCAGCAGGGTGTGGTGACACACCACTATAATCTCAGCACTTTGGAGACTGAGGCAGGAAGATTTGGAGTTGCAAGCCAGCGTGGACTACTTGGTGAATTTGATGCTCAAATGGTGGAGCTCCTGTGTGGCTACTGCAAGGCTCTGAGTTCAAACCTCAGTGCCGCAAAAAGCCAAACCCAAACAAACAGAGACCAAAACCCAAACCCAAACCAACGAAACAAAAACAAAAACAAAAACAAAAAACTAAACCTACAAATGGGTCACATAAAGAAACATGGTAAATTCTTCTATAACTTCAGGAGAAGAAAAGAAATGCTTTTGGACTGTGACTCAATCCAGTTCAGTAAAAGTTGGTAAAACTATGTAAAAAAATTTTTAATTCTTTTCTAGCAGAAAACTGTAAACAAAGCAAAATGGCAGCATACTAGGAGAAAATATTTGCAGCAAATGTCAGAGTATTAATACCCTTGATTGATAAGAACTCTTGACTTTGAGAGAATAAATTGATATTCTCAAAATTGATAGAAAAGCAAGCAAAAAATACGATAAGGAGGTAGCTCACGGAACAGATAAAAACGTGCATAGGCAGGGGTTCAGTTTTACTCATGATGGTAGAAATACAAATTAAAGTCACACCGAGTTATCCCTCATGTTAGATTGGCCAAAAATAAAATTTGAAGACATTTTCTGCTGGCAGATCTGTGGGGAAGCAGGCACTCTCAAACACTGCTGGTGGGGAGTCTGGATTGTCGAGCGCTAAATTAAATCAGCATTTCCACTGGCTCAGCAACTCGCTTCTTGAATTTATCCTGTATATATACTTAGCATCATATAAAAGTATAGATGTATAAGTTTTCTTCCATTACATTGTCATTTGTAATTGTAAGATATGCTAAACAAACTAAATGTAAATTTCAAATGAATATAAAGCACATATCAGAGATGGGTGAATAAATGTGGATGCATCACACATTACGCAGCCATCAGAAAGGACAGAGGTCATCTCCAAACTGATAGGAAGTGACTCCCAGGATGTGCTATCAAGTGAAAAAGCCAGCTGTGCAAAGCAGTATCAGCACTGTTACTTTACATGTGAGACTGAAGAAATTAAAAGATACAAATGCAAACACAAAGTATTATGATTAATATGTGGATGGAACAGTGGAAGGGAATTAAATATTTTACATATTAAAAAATACAACCAATACTGGGGAAAAGCTTTCAGATGAAACATGAAAATACACACAAACCTAACTATCGCAGAAGAATCAGGTTTGAGGATAGATTTTTGACTTTCTCCTTTTAGTCTGAAGACAGAAATAGACGTAAGATATGTTAAAGTGTAGTTGTTAGGTTTCTTTTTCTATAGTTGCATGGATTGGCAATTCTGAAACCATTTTCTGTATTTGAGGATTAAATACATTTTGAGATTTATGGGAGTCAGAATTCTGTCGGAGAATGGAGTTAAGAATATGGAAATATTGTGAACTAGAATAATTCTGTAGGCAAATTGGACTAGATTGTGTATCAGTGTAAAGTCATGGTGTTCCATGTTTGTCTGTTACGAAGTGTGTGTCTGTTGTCTGGTCTGGTTCTCTGGGACACATTGGAAGCTGTGATACACCCACCCCTAAAAGGAACATATACCCTTTGAGAAATGGCTGGGTATAGGGCTGGGGCAGGAAAGAAACCAAGCTAAACCTAAAGTAAGATAATTCCAAAATGTAAATGAATGCTCAAGGACTGGCAGAATGGCTCAAGTGGTAGAGCACCTGCCTAGCAAGTATGAGGCTGAGTTCAAACCCCAGTACTGCCAAAAAAAAAAAAAAAACTCAAGTAATAATGGGGCCAGGCACCAGTGACTCATACCTGTAATCTTAGCTACCTCTTACACCTGCACACACCTCATCCCCCCACATCCACACCACACATACCATTGGAAGGACTTGGGTCAACTTGAAGGACTCACAGGCAACTGTGGGTCAATTCAGACATAGATTAATGGTGGTAAAAGATAATTCACAGAAGAAAACAGGAATCCCTAAGTTCCCAGTGATGCGGGTGGAAAGGAATGTCTCTTACATTGGAATGGTAGGTAATGGAAAAGTACAGTTGGAATTAGAAATCTTACTGTCAGGGCGGTAATTAAGTCAGGTGAGTACCAGCAACCTCGTTAGACCAGGGGCTAGGGACCTGGATTTTTGATGGAAGTTTGGTAGAGAACAGGATTTTTACATAGTCCTAAATTGTTTCCCCACAAAATGTTTATTACATTGGAAAACAGTGACTTTACAGAGGAGAAAGCAGATGTCACCACCATTAATGGACAAGTTGACATCATTTACCACTTGATGTTATTCACTAAGAATGTCACTTCTGTGGTATTCCTGCCCCAAACACTTAACCTTGAAATTAAACATGAAGAAATAAGGAACACACCCAAATAGAAGGTACACTCTACAAAGTAACTGGTCTGTCATATTCCTCTTCAAAGATGTTGTGATCATGGAAATCAAAGAGAAAGTGAAAGGAGCTAAGGCAACATGGCTGCTAAAAGCACCAGGTATCCCAGGTCTGATTTCAGACAAGATTTTTGTTGCTGCATGATAAAAATGAGAGCACACAAGGGAGGGGTGAGGATAGGTAAGACACCTAAAAAATTAGCTAGCATTTGTTGTCCTTAATGCAGAGAAACTAAAAGCAGATATCCTTAAAAGGCAACTGAGGCAATAGAAAGGGACAGGAACTAGAGAAAAGGGTTCGATCAAAAAGAATTAACCTAGAAGGTACACACCATGCACAGGAAATTAAAGCGAGTCACCTCCCTGTATAGCTGAGGGAGGGGTGGGGGCAGGGGGGAGAAATGACCCAAGTCTTGTATGCACATATGAATAATAAAACAATAAAAAAAAGAAGATTTTTGTTGCTGTAAAGGATATTATTGGAACAGCTGGCAAAATCTGAATCACATTGTACAATAAAAAACAGTATTGTGTTTAGTATAATTTCCTGATGTTGATATCACTGAAGTTATGTAAGAGAATGTTCTTTGGAGATTAGGCAGTGGGGGACTCAGAGATAAAAAGGAATTATGTCTGTAATGAACTCTTAACGGGTTCAGGAAAAGGTGCATGATTACATGAAAAAGGCCAGTGTTTGGGTTGAGAGAGGTGCTAAAATATTAATCAGTGAAGAATCTGGGTAAGAGTGTATGAATGTTCTTGATATTTTTTTGTGGTACTGGGATTTGAAATCAGAGTTTTAAAAGCTTGCTAGACATGCATTCTACCACTGGAGACATTCCTCCAGCCCCTGTCCTTGAAATGTTTATGTAAGTTTAAAATGATTTCAAAATAAAAAGGTAAAGCACTTTTCACAAATTCCAAATTCAAATTTTAGAACCTTTAAAATAAGCTGCATTGTGTGCTCAGGGTCCCTCCACCTTCACTCCCCTGCAGCAGGGAGGGGCTGCTACCTCCGTGGTGGGCCCATTTCTTCGGAGAACTGTGGCGTCTTGTCTCTGTCATTTTGAGCTCAAAGTAACCCTATTCCTACAGATTACTGATGAGCGAGAGTTTTTTGAGATCATGCCTAATTACGCCAAGAACATCATTGTTGGTTTTGCAAGAATGAATGGTCGGACTGTTGGAATTGTTGGCAACCAACCCAAGGTGGCCTCAGGTAAGATGCAGAAGGTCCCATGGTGCCGTGTCTACCTTCTGCTTTCACGTCTAGAGGTGATTCCTGTCATTTAGTTGTCTTAGTTGTTTGAAGGTTTGATTGTGTGTACCTAAGTTGAGGTTACTCTCTACTGTCTTGCTCTTTCTTTTCCTGTGGTTTGGTGCTGCCTGCCCTTTCATGGTTATGTTGGGTTTCATTTTCTGTGTGCAGAATCCCTTGAAGAATCTTTTCTAGTGGTGGCTTTGTGGTCACATATTGTTTTAGTTTCTGCTTATCATGGAAAACTTTTATTGCTCCATCTATTTTGAATGATAGTTTTGCTGGGTAGAGTGTCCTAGGGTTGAAGTTACTGTCATTCATGCCCGGAAGACCTCACCCCAAGCTGTTCTTGCTTTTGTTGAGAAGTCTGCTGTGATTTTGATTGGTTTACCTTTGTATGTTATTTGTTTTTTTTCTCTCTTATAGCCTTCAGTATTCTTTCTCGGGTCTCTGTATTTGTTGTTTTAATGATAATATGCTGTGGGGTAGTTCCATTTTGGTCTGGTCTGTTTGGTGTTCTGGAGGCCTATTGCATCTGTTTGGGAATAGGTTTCTCTAGATTTGGGAAATTTTCTGTTATTATTTTGTTGAATATATTATTCACATCCTTTACTTGCATGTCTTCTCCTTCTTCAGTGCCCATGATTCTCAGGTTTGGTCTTTTGATGGAGTCAGTGAGTTCTTGCATTTTCTTTTCACAGGTCTTGAGTTGTTTAACTAATAGTTCTTCAGTTTTTCCTTTAATTACCATTTCATCTTCGAGTTCTGAGATTCTGTCTTCTGTTCTATTCTGCTGGATTGGCCTTCCATTTTGTTTTCCAATTCTGTTTCCTTTTTTTTTTTTCTGAGGTTTTCCATATCCTGGGTGGTTTCCTCTTTAATGTTGTCTATTTTCGTCCTAAGTTCATTTATCTCTTTATTAATCATGTTGTTTGTTTCACTTTGGTGTTTATACCGTGCTTCTATGGTTTCCTTTATTTCTTCTTTTGCTTTTTCAAATTCTCTATTTTTGTTGTCTTGGAATTTCTTGAGTGTCTCCTGTACATTTTGGTTGACCACATCCAGTATCATCTCTATAAAATTCTCATTGATTACCTGTAGGATTTCTTCCTTTAGGTTATTCTTGTGGGTTTCATTGGGTTCTTTGGCATAGTTTATCTTCATTTTATTGGAGTCTGAATCTGAGTATCTGTTTTCTTCATTTCCCTCTGGTTCCTGTACTATTTTTTTTTTGCTGTGGGGAAACTGGTTTTCATGTTTTTTCTGTCTTCCCATCATTGCCCTTGGTGTTGTTATTGTCCCTGTACTGTGTGCAATTATTTTCTAGCTTGTAGTAATAACAATGGTGACATTTAGAATGGAAGGGTGAGAGGAGAGGGTAAGCAAAGATGGTAAAGAAAAAGGGAAAAACAAATGAGGAAGTAAAAAACAAACAAAAAAGTTTCAAAGATATAAACAGGGAGAGATAGTGTACTAATGAACAGTAAGCTAAACAGGCATTAGAGAAACAGAGGATTAAAAAATAAAATAAAATATAATATAATAAAGAAAAATAAAATAAAATTTAAAAAAATCTCCAAAATCAAATGCAATAAAGTTTCAATCTTAATAATTTTGGTGATAGTCCCTCAGACTCCAATCCTGGAGGTGGTGTTTCAGAAGTAGTTCTGTCATTGTCTCATCAAAGGGGAAACAAAACAAAACACAAAAAAAGAAACCACCACAAAGTGTCCCAAGTTCAAATGCAATACAGTTTCAGTAAGTTTTTCAGCATGCAGGTGTAGTTCGGATGTTGTCTCATAAAAGATAAGGAGAAAAAAAAAAAAGAGTCTGGAGACAGTTCTGTGAATGGCTATCTCAGGCTGCAGCTCACCTGCCCGCTGCTGTCAGCCTGCTGTTGCTGGAGGCTTTATTTATGCAGATCTCGGGAGTGAGCTTAACACTCACCTGGCCTCTCAGGCTTTGTTTACTTAGAGTTCTCCTGTGCGCGAGCCTCTGCTACAAGCTTTCCCCTTTGCAAGCACACTGGGGGAGGTGACACTGCACCTGCTTTCTCAGGCCTGCTTGTTTATTTACAGCTCATGTGGGAATTGGGTCTTCTCCCTTCTCCTGTGGAGTTTTCCTCCCACCGCGGCTTTTACAAGCTTTCCTGCACCTGCTTGCTGCAGCCGCTCCTGCCTTCTCCTGCCTGGCTTGTTCATTTACAGTTCTGTGGGGGATTTCTCCTTCCCCGCTCTTCGGCACTCAGGGCGCCCCACCCTCTTTGCTACATGTCTTTTTTTGTTGTTATTTCTTATTATTCAGTTTTTTTTTTCCCTGGGTGGGGGTCAGTCTGTCCAGGGGGTTATGCTGATCTGGCGCAGGGTTGTCTGTGGGAGTACCAAGTGCCGCTTAGCTCACTTGTGGTCTGTGTCTTCCCAAGTGGTCTGGGTGCTGGTGTCTGGCGGCTTGGTAGCCCTCCTGGTTTCTCCGTTTAACATGGAATGGGGATGGTATGCATGGGTTCCAGGTGTGGAGGAGTCAAAGTTTTTCCTCTTCTCCGTGGTTTTTCCTGTAAGGTGTATCTCCAGCTTCTCTCCAAGATTTTACTTTAGGAGGCACCCTTTCTGCTTCCTCCCTCTAGCCGCCATCTTGGAATCCCTATTTGAACTTCTTCGGTTAATTGCATCTTGCTGTTATCTGGGCACTGTAGCTTTCTGGTGATGTGACCAGACCTGCATCACTGCCAGGAGAGGGTGACTCTTCTGTGATTGTGCTCTGGTGGGGTGGTGGCTGTGGGCACCATTTCTGTTTCCTTGTTAGGTTTGTTTGTATCGCTTATAGGAACTGCTCTCCCTTATTGATCCAACCTCAGCTTCTACTTTTTCATGGCAATTTTCCTCATCTTTAGGAATGTGTTTTGAAAGAAATACTTTTTGTTATGGCAGTCTATATGTGAGTATATGTGTATGTATATATGTACATATGTAAATATGCGTATATTTAATGTGTTTTTGTGGTTGAGTTACAGGAGTTCTTAATATCAGAAAAATGTATGATTTGCAAGTGTTTTCCTCATTCTGTAGGTCATCTTTTCACTGTCTTGACAATCTTTTCTGTGGTCTTGCAGATGCTTGGCAAGTGCTCTACCATGAGTAGCACTTGCCAGCTCAGTAATGTCTTTTGTTGCACAAGTTTTTAATTTCAATTAAGTTAATTTCTCTTTCTTTTTTTGTTACTTGTGCTTTTTGTGTCATATCTAAGAAATCTGTGGTCATGAAGATTCACTCCTATTTTCTTCTAAGAATTTTATGGCTTTAGCTCCTAAGTTAGGTTTGATGAATTCTGAGCTAATTTTGCATATGGTGTAAGGGTCCAACTTGATGTTTTGCATGGGGGAGTCCATTTATCTCTGTGCTGTTGGTTGCAGAGACTGCTCTTTCCCCTGGATCAGTTTGGCACATTGGTCAGAAGTCAGTGGGCTGTCGGCACCCACTGGGCTTAGGTCTGCTGTTTTAGCTCTCTCCCTTCTTTTATATCTCTCATGTTTGTATTCTGCTAACACAGTATTGTGATCACTGAGGTTTGAAGTAAGTTTTAAAATTGGGAAGTATTAATTTTCCAGTTTTGTTCTTCTGTGTTAGTTATTTGGGGCCTTTTCCAATCCTGTATGAATTTGAGTAATAACTTTTCCATTTCTGCAAAAAAGGCTACTGGAGTTTTGATAGGAATTGTGCTAAATCTGTACTTGGGTAGTATGGGTTGAGCATCCCTAATCTGAAATCTAAAATCTGAAACTTTTTGAGCACTCACATGAAACCACAGTGGAAAACTCCACACCTGACTTCATGTGACAATTCATAGTAAAACAGTCACACTAAAAATATTGTTTGAAATTACCTGTAGGCTATGTGCTCAAGGTGTATGTGAAACAAAAATGAATTTTGTGCCTAAGCTTGGGTCCCCTCACCAACATAGCTCATTATGTATGTGCAGATATTTTAAAACTTGAAAAATAATGAAATTCAGAAGAAATCTGGTCCCAAGGATTTCCCATAAGTGATACTCAACTAAGGTCTGTGTTGATATCTTAACCAAATTAAGACTTGCAGTCTCTGAACACAGGATGTCATTCCATGTATTTTGGTCTTACATTTTTTACATCAACTTTCCAAGTTTTTTTTGTGAGTGTGTTTTCTCCTCTTTGGGTAAATTTATTCCTAAGCATTTTAATCTCTTAGATTCTAATGTGCAAGGAGTTGCTTTTCAAATTTCTTTTTGGGATTATTTGTTGATACATAGAAATACAGCTATACAACTGATTTTTGTTTGTTGGTCTTGTAACCTACAACTTTGCTGAGTTTATTAGATTTGTTACGGTTTGTTTCAACTTTACTGAATTTGTCTACTAGCTTTCTTATGGATTCTCTAGAAATTTTTATGTATATAGGTTTATGTTTACTGTAAACAAATACAGTTGTACTCTTTCCTTTCCACCTTGAATGCCTTTTCTTTCTTAATTGCTGTGGCTAGAACTTCTCGTACAATGTTGGAGTAGTAACATTGGCATTCTTGTTTTTCTTTTCTTCATCTTTTTGGAGACAGGGTCTTGCTCTGTAACCCAGGCTAGCCTTAACCTTGTGATCCTCCTGAGTCAGTCTCCTGAGTATAGGAATTACAGATGTGTACTACCATGCCTAAATTCTTGACTTGCTCCTGATAATAAGGGAGGAAAACTTTCAGTCTTTTACAATTAAGTATGATCTTAGCTGTGTGTCTTTCATGCATGTGTTCTCCCACCTCATCTCATTGAGGACGTTTCGATCTATTCCTAGTTTTCCAAGTGTTTTCATCATGAGAGAATACTGGATTTTGTCAAATGTCTTTTCTGTGTCAACTGAGATGATTCTATGGCTTCTGCCATCAGTGTGCTATATTACATGGATTTTCTTGTGCTGAATCACCTTTGGATACCTGGATAAATCCTACTGGGCTGTGGTAAATAATTAAAAAAAAAAAGGTTAATAGACTTTCTGATCACCCAGTGTCTATAGCTCACTTCAGGATCTGATCTTGGTGTTATAAATCCTATGGGTTTATCAAATGTATGGTGACACGTATCCACCAGTATAGTATCATACAGGTTAGTTTCCTTGCCCTGCAATCCTCTGTATCCTTTTGTTCATACTTCCCCCAACCTCCACCCCTGGGAAGCACTGGCTTTTCTCTGTGTCTCTAGTTTTGCCTTTTCCAGAGTGGAATGTTGTTGGAATCATCCAGTATGTAGCCTTTTCAGATTGACTTCTTTCACTTAGTAACATCTAAGGTTTTTTAATGCCTTTTTATGACACTTGAGCCCATACCTCTTGCTCCTTCCCCTTTTCCAACAAATACAACAGGTGTTATTACAGACAGTAATTAGAAGCACAGTTAGGGACACTTTCAGAGCACAAAACTTACTTCTGACTTGGTTCTTGAACTTCATTTCCACCAATTGAGAAAGGGAGAATGTGGGATTTCTGACTTGTCTCACAGTACCTCTGTCCTAATTCCCTCGTGGCTGTGTGGTCTTGAGGGGTCCACTGATGGTCCTTAATCTAGAAAGTTTCATTGCTTCATTTGCTTCTGCCTTGAGTCCTTGCTACTGTGCCTGGAGTCTGGAACATATTATTTCATAGGGCAGCCTCCACCAACCTACGCAGAGACCAGAGAAAAACCAAAGAGGCAGACAATCCCCAAATATACAGAGATTTCCTTATCCCAGGCTTGATTTGGATCACTGATGAAATAAACTAATTATTAAACGTTTATATCCTTTCTACCAACATGCAAGGATTACTTATAAGTTTGGCCTTATTTGGAATATATTTCTTGTATGATTAACTTAAACATAAAATACTTCTGTAAAGATATCAGTGCTCTAATACAAATTTGAAATATCCCTTAATGAGGAACCGTAGCCTCAGGCATTTTGACCCTAGGTCCTCTGTTCAAGGGTGTCACATTCTTATTTTAGTTCTCTCAATTTTCACTACTTTCTGTGTGCTTGCTTGAAGTATCTTTTTTTTTTTTTCTAGAAAAAGTAATGGTTCCTACTTTAAATCTAGTACCTCTAGTTAGTACCTATCACCTTGTACCTCTACTTTAGTGTGGGCAATACTATATAGAAGTCAAATTTTAAAATCTGTTTATCAATTTCTACAGAAGAACTTCCTATGATTTTGATAGGAATTGCTTGAAAGTGTAGCCTGTGCTGTTCAGTGTGCTCATTTAGCTTTGTACTAAAGTCCAAAACAATTAAAATATTATAAATGAATAATGCAAATGAAATACAATTAAATATGTAGTTTCTCCCAGTCATACTGAACACACTCAGTAGCTGCCTATGACCAATGGCTCCATTCCCAGCAGCACAGCCAGAGATTATTTCCATCATTACAGAAGGCTCTTCTTAGCAGCACTGGTAGAAGTCAGCCTGGGGACAGTGGTTATTTTCACAGTATTTATTCTTCTGGTTCCTGAGTGTAAATTGTTTGTCAGGAGTTGAATCCTATTCCTCATTTACTGCTAGTTTTTAACCAGGAATGAGTCTTGACTTCTTGACTTCTGTAAGGAGCTTTCTCTCTATCTATTGAGATGATCGTAGAAAGGTTTTTCTCCTTTATTTAATGTTACTGGGTTTCACATGTTAAAATCAACTTTAAATTTTTGTTTTTTTCCTTATTGCTTTTTTTTTTGGAGGTACTGGGATTTGAACTCAATGTCTCACATTTGCTAGGCAGGCTAGGTTTGATTTGATAATATGCCTTACTCAAAAAGTATGTATTTTTGTATCTGTATCCATGACAGATTTAGGTCAGTGTTTTTTATAGGGTCCTGGTGTTGGCATGCTGCCCTCGTACAGTAAGTTGGATGCCCCCTTGATGGGAGATTTACTGGTCACCGAGATCCTCCTCTGTGCCACTCTGCAGAGCCACATCCTCTAATCCTCACTGTGCTACTGGCATACAGGAACTTTCCCATGGGTCCAGAGCAGTGAGCGCTGTGTAGACCCAGAGTCTTAAGTTCTGAGGACTCTCCAAGATCAGCCCTGAATGACAGCTCCCACCAATGGCTCCCCTGAGGCAAGCCAGGCAGGGCCTCAGCTGGTGGTAGCACTCTGTCAGTGGGGCAGAGTCTGGCTGTCTGCTCTGGGCTGTGCCAACAAGGGCGTGATGGGTTAGGGTTCCTCCTGGTGCCTTTCTGCCCAGCGCTAGCTGTGCTCTCCATATTCCTTGTTTTTCTGGAGCATGAGGGCTCCTTGTTACCATCTGAGATGAGACTGTGGATCCTCCACAGAAGCCAGCTCTCAGTGGTTGATGAGGACATACTCCCCTTGTGCGTGGAATGCTCCAGAAAGCTTAGCATGGCTAATCTTTCTCTTCCTAGGATGCTTGGATATTAATTCATCTGTGAAGGGTGCTCGCTTCGTCAGATTCTGTGATGCATTCAATATTCCACTCATCACCTTTGTTGATGTCCCTGGCTTTCTGCCTGGTAAGTCACTGACTATTCGAGGTGGGAGCAAGAGAGGTGGTTGTAACCAGAGAGGCCTCCAGTGTCTTTGGAGATGTTGTAGAACCCCCTATGGATCTGTGTCTTCTCCATGTTCTGGGTGACCAGAAAGCAAGAGTATCTGAGGATCGGCCCTCTTTGGAGGTTCGGAAGACCTCCTAGCCACGGGTACAGGTAGCCCTTGTGAGGACTTACTGCATAGTGGTAACTTTTCTCATGACCTAGGCACATCTCAGGAATATGGAGGCATCATCCGGCACGGGGCCAAGCTGCTCTATGCGTTTGCTGAGGCCACTGTGCCCAAAGTCACGGTCATCACCAGGAAGGTGAGGATCTCATGCTGGATCCCGTCATCCCTCTCACCCTCCCAGTGCCATGGCCATGTTGGTTTGGCCAAGAATGCCACCAGGGATGAAGAGAGGAGTCCTCGTGGCTCATCTCTGTAAAGGTCCCTGGAAGGCGGCATTCCGAGCCCTGCATGTAAGCAGGAACATCCCTGAGGGACGTTCAGAGGGAACTGAAAGCAGGAGTGGGAAAAGTAAGGAGTGACAAACAGAATACCTGTGGAAACCTCCCAGACCTTGGCCTTCAGGGGCCAAGAAAACTGTGCCTGTTCTTGGTCCCTGTTCTCCTGGCTTCCTGGGGTTTTTCAGGGCTATAAACTGGTGTTTGCAGCTCTAACACTCAGCATTTTGGTTTGTTCTAGGCCTATGGAGGTGCCTATGATGTCATGAGCTCGAAGCACCTTCTTGGTGACACCAACTATGCCTGGCCCACTGCAGAGATTGCTGTGATGGGAGCAAAGGTGAGGACCCACAGCTTCCACTTACCTAGGTCCAGGGATTGGACTCTTCCTTCAGGAGCTCAAAGGATAGCTTGGAAAGAAGTCCCTGGGATGGCTCAGGACTGAAAGGACAAGGCCTGGACTTGGCAAATCTCCCTGGGACCAGATCTGCCTCCAGTCCTCCTCTTACTACCTGTCTTCATGGCAGGGCAAGTGGGCAGGGAAAGGAATGAATGGAAAGGGCCCAGAGTCGGTTTTGTGATTGTAAGGAAAAGAGGGAGAGAGTAGAGTCAGCTGAGCTAACGTTTGGGAGGTTCAACCCCACCTTAGCTTCCAGGGAGGGCCCAGAGCCACACCTTTCAGCCCCTCAGAAGCAGAACTGTAGTTCTGACCCTGGTGGCTTAGGGCAAGGCACTTCCTGGTGCTTGACCTATTCCCACTCCTACCTTGCTTTGAAAGAGCTATGGGGGTCAGACCAGATAATAGGGTCCCAGAGCTGACTTATCGGTGTTCCGACTTGAAAGCCAAGTCTTTTCATTTGCAATTCAGTTTGTGCTCCTCTGGCCACTGAATTGTGTGCTCAGTGCTCAGGATAATGGAAAAGAAAAAGAGCTTTGACTTCCCTCTGATGCAAGGGACTATGGATTTAATAGTGGAAAAGAAGCCAAACATTTTGGTCTCAAAGAAGGATGAGAGAGGCAGAGGAAAAGGGTAGAGTGGAACCTAGAACCATGGTGGAGTGCCTTTCTCAGTCCCTGCAGTCATGATGGCTGACCCCAGGCAGTGCCTGTCCCTTTGCCCTGGCCTCTGGAGCTGACACTTCCCTCCGGGACTCTGATTTGCCACAAAGTTCACAGCCACACACAGCGATAATGAGTTGGTTGGTCTGGTGGGTTGGGACCCCACTCTAGTGAAACTGTCGACTTCTCTCCTGACAGGGTGCTGTGGAGATCATCTTCAAAGGGCACAAGGACGTGGAGGCCGCCCAGGCGGAGTATATCGACAAGTTTGCCAACCCATTTCCTGCAGCAGTGAGAGGTGGGGCTGGTGGGAGTGTGGCTTTGTCTGTCCAGTCTCTTGCTCATTTTCTCTCCAGAAGACCTTTTGCCCTGCAGTTGGATCTGTTGACTGGGGAAGGTTGGGTTATCCCTGGGCAAGTCATTACGTGTGAATACTGGGGCCTACACAGGCTGCCTGGTCTCAGCAACACTGCAGATGGGACTGCATTTCTAGTTGTTGTCCCAGTTATTCAGTGCTGTGTAAAAATCTATCCCAAACTCAGTGCTTTTTAACCAACCACCGTCTCCCCATCCCCAAACACACACACTTACGGTTCTGAGAGTCAGTGATTTGTTTGGTCTGGGCTCAGCTGGGTGGTTCTTCTGTGGCTTTTGTGTGGGATCACTGATGTAACTGTAGTCATCTGGTAGCTTGAATAGGGCTTGATAGTCCAAGATGGCCTCCCTTGTGTGGTGGGTACTGGCTGCTGGCTACATCCTGCCTACTTGGCTCTCAACCTTCAGGAGTCCAGTCCAGGTTTATGTACATGGTGTCCTGGGAGTAGCAAAAGGATTAGGGGAAGCTGTGGTGCCCTTGATGGCTAAGTTAAGAAGTTGCATAGTGTCACTTCTGCCATATTTTATTGGCCAAAGCAAATCACAAGGCAGGGTTAAGTAGAATCTCCCTCTTGATGGGAGAAGTACAGAATCATACTGGAGAAGGACCTGCATACAGGGAAGGAAGAAAGTGTCATAGCCATTTTTGAAAAATAGATATATTTTCTTAATTTTATTTCCTGTTGAATTCCTCTCGTCTGTGTGGAAGCATTGGAGTAAGGTGCCTAGGGAGGGAGTTAAAAGTTGGCAGAACAGGCAAGCTTGTGGGATGCAGGAAGGGTTCATGGTCTTGGCACATGCTCTGTCAGGTTGGGCTTGCTCACACTGTTAGCTGAGCATGTGGTTGGTGTGGGGTGGCATAGGCTGTGCAGTCCATGAGCTCCTTCTCTGTGCTTCACCAGGGTTTGTGGATGACATCATTCAGCCGTCTTCCACTCGTGCCCGAATCTGCTGTGACCTGGATGTCTTGGCCAGCAAGAAGGTACACCGTCCTTGGAGGAAACATGCAAATATCCCATTGTAAACAGATGAAAGGAAAATAGGCCACCCCTACCTTCTGCAAATGAAACCCTGGGGATCTAAATACCAGTAATAATTTGGAATAGCTGAGTTGATTACATTCTAAAATGATCTCTGTGCCTTACTGTAAAATTGCTTTATTAAAAATCTTAATTAGTATTTTTTAGTATAAATTTCATTCTTATGACAGAAATCTGAAAAAACAAGACAGAACCCGCTCAGGTATCATCTCCTAGAGCTGACTTGATTTGACACCTGTGGTCCAATGTGATGCGGAGCCCCAGAGGTTTGTGTGTGGTGGGGAACTTGGTCCTCAGTGTGGAGTGTTCTTAGGTCAGCAGAAAGTCCTTAGGTCTGTTGTGTGCTGCTCTGGGAAGGACTGCAGGACCTCAGGCTTTCTCACTGCTTGTTTGGCATGTGGTCTCTCCTCCCTGTGTGATCCCACCACGAGGTGCAGCCACGCAGGTCTTCACTAGGCCAAGCTGAGCTGATGGCAGCCGCATGCCCTCACATCTCCAGAACTGCTAGCTAAACAAACCTCTTTTCTTTATGAAGTTAAGATTTTGTTATAGCAATGAAATGACAGATAATCCATACCTCTGTGTGGTGGTCTCTTTGTTTTCAGGAGTTTTCATCCTTTGGGGACATAATACAGTTTTGGGGAAGTTCACTCCTGAGTGTTCAGTTTCCTTCCTGTCACATAGGGTGATAGTGCCAGTCCTGTCTCAGCTTGTGGTGAGTTGTTGAGGTTAAGTGAGGAGTTTGTGACTGTGGTGGGTTGAGTAGGACAGGCACTCAGTAAGGTGTAGTACCCCATACTGGCTTATTTCCAAATGTGTCCACACATTTTAAAACAATTTTATTATGAAAATTCTGTAGCCTGTAGGGATGTGGCAAGAATTATATTGATACTGTCACCTAGATTCTCCAGTTGTTCATTTTATAAACTTGCTTCATCTCTTTCGTAATTGTGCTTTTTATTAATCCATTGGAAAGTAAGTTGCAGAATCAAGGTGGTTTATTCCCCAGAACGTCAGTGTACCTCCTAGGAACAAAGCCTGCTGCCCTCCTTTTTTGTTTTTTTTGTTTTTTTTTTTTTGTAGCCTAGGCTGGCTTTGAACTTGTGATCTCCTGCCTCAGCCTCCTAAGTGCTAGGATTATGTCCGTGTACCACCATGCTTGGCGAGACATTGACATTTTTAAAATTTTCTTTTGCTGGTACAGGTGTTTGAACTCAAGGCCTTATGCTTTCAAGGCAAGTGCTACCACTTGAGCCACTCCCTGAGCTCTGTTTTGCTTTCGTTATTTTTCAGGGTTTTTTTAATTTTAGTTTTTGCTGGGGCCTGGACCATGATCTGCCTACCTACGGCCTCCATGTAGCCTGGTTTATAGGCACACACTACCATGCCTGGCTCATTAATTGAGAAGTCTTGATAACTTTTTGCTCCGGTTGGCTGGACCATTATCTTCCTGAGCTCCACCTCCCAAGTAGCTAGGATTACAGGTATGAGCCACAGGGCCTGGCTGACATTGACATTCTTTGAGGAGTGCTTGCTTGCCTGTTACTTTGTAGAAATCCTTCAATTTGGATGTGTCTCATTGTTAGATTCAGGTAAAATTAATATATGTATTCTTCTACTGTCAAATCATGAAGTACCTAATGTCAGTTTTTCCTGTTAGTGGTAATTGATTCTGACCACAAGGCTGCAACAGTTTTTCCACCATGGTTACAGTTTTCCCTTTGTAATTAAGTTAATTTGGAGGGCATTTTTTTTTTCTTTGGTGGGACTGGGGTTTGAACTCAGGGCTTTTGCACTTGTAAAGCAAGTGCTCTACCACTTTCATCATATGCAGTCCATTTTGCTCTGGTTATTCTTTTGGAAATGAGGACTTGTGAACTATTTGCTCAGCGTGGTCTTGAACTGCCATCCTCCTGATCTCAGCCTCACAAGTAGGCAGGGTTATAGGTATGAACCACTGGCGTTTGGCTGGTGATGAGGGGGTGTCATTCTTTAGTCCTGTCTGTCAACAATAGTTTTAGACTCCATTGATGATTCTTGCTTCAGCAAGTGAGTCTGTGTTATTGGTGCAGGGTTGAATTTATAGCCGGTCACATGTCTGCATTTACTAGTGGGAACTTAAACAAAGAAGAGCTTTCTCTTTTGTGCTTTTTTCTTAGTGTCAGCTTAGACTCATGGATTCTTTTTAAATTTCATGTGTTATTCCTTTTGATGTTCAAATTTTCTGACTTGGCTCGTGGAAGCTCCTTCAAAGCTGGTCCCCCAGGTTCTTTTGATATGTTCCAGTAACTTTTTGGGCACTTCTTAGTTTGACTAATAATAAAATTAATGATAATTTTCTGGTTCACCTTGTATTTTCCTTGCCCAGATTTTTAAGTTGCTTGAATGCGAGGGACAGCCTTTCTCCAAGGAGCTAAAATTAGTCAATATGTCGCTTAGAAGCTAAACTTGGGACAGGTTATTCACACTGATGCCAGGGTGTCACTGGATCTAGGCATTTTCAACAGCTAGAGCTAGGAAATACTTATACAAATAACTGTGTCTATGAGTCAGGCCCTTTTTGTTGCTGTGACAAATACCTGAAAGAAGCAATTTAAAAGGAAGAAGGATTTATTTTGGCTCATGGTTTCAGTCCAAGGTCAGCTGGCTTCATTACTTTGAGCCTGAGGTAAGGCAGGCCATCATAGTTGGGGAGTGTGGGACGGACTGCTCACTTCATGGCAGCAAGGAAGCAAAGCAGAAGGGGCAGGGGACAAGATACATATTTCGAGGGTGACCTGTGGCCTACATTCTCAGTTAGGCCCCACCTTGTACTTTCCACCACCCCAGTAATGCATGATGTTATGACTCCGTCAGAGGACTGGTCCATTGATAGGTCAGAGCCTTCAGAATCCGGTCACTTCCCCAAAACCCATCAGCTGGCCACCAGGCTCCCAAATCATGAGCCTGTAGATAATGTTTCATGTTCAAACTGTAACTGGGTGTATTATATGTGGGGTACATGTACATAGAAATATATATTAAGTTGTAAAATCATGAGCTTATAATGAAACTTAATTCATAACTCATACCCGAGTTCTTCTTTGCCTTTCTCCATTCCATATTTGTCTTACTTGCTCCGTGCCACAGTTTGAGTCACTACAGCTGTTCAATAATAAACCCTTTTTAAAAAAATTTTTTTTTGGCGGTACTGGGGTTTGAACTTAGAGCTTCATGCATGCTAAGCAGGCACTCTACCACTTGAGCTACTCTGCCAGCAGTTTTGTGTTGGGTATTTTTCAGATACTGTCTATGAACCATTGGACCAGACTGGCTTCGAACCACGACCATCCTGATCTCTGCCTCCCAAGTAGCTAGGATTACATGTGTGAGCCACTGGTGCACAGCCTATAAAGCCTAAAATAAGCTCAAGACTTTTTTTCTAGTTCTTTTTGTCTTTAAATTGAAGGTATATGATGGTTAAGTCCTGGATTAGTAACAGTTTATGTTTACCAAGAGGAGTTAGGGTCCTTTGTTTCTGTTTGTAGGGCACTTTAAAGTTTTCTCCTGTTTCTTACTGAGTTTGTAAAACGTCAACAGTTAACACCAAAACTGAGATTTTTTTTGAACTTTTTTTTTTTATTCATATGTGCATACAATGCTTGGGTCATTTCTCCCCCCTGCCCCCACCCCCTCCCTTACCACCCACTCCGCCCCCTCCCTCTCCCCTCCCCTCAATACCCAGCAGAAACTATTTTGCCCTTATCTCTAATTTTGTTGAAGAGAGAGTATAAGCAATAATAGGAAGGAACAAGGGTTTTTGCTGGTTGACATAAGGATAGCTATACAGGGAGTTGACTCACATTGATTTCCTGTGCATGGGTGTTACCTTCTAGGTTAATTCTTTTTGAGCTAACCTTTTCTCTAGTTCCTGTTCCCCTTTTCCTATTGGCCTCAGTTGCTTTTAAGGTATCTGCTTTAGTTTCTCTGCGTTAAGGGCAACAGATGCTAGCTAGTTTTTTAGGTGTCTTACCTATCCTCACCCCTCCCTTGTGTGCTCTCGCTTTTGTCATGTGCTCATAGTCCAATCCCTTGTTGTGTTTGCCCTTGATCTAATGTCCACATATGAGGGAGAACATACGATTTTTGGTCTTTTGGGCCAGGCTAACCTCACTCAGAATGATGTTCTCCAGTTCCATCCATTTACCAGCGAATGATAACATTTCATTCTTCTTCATGGCTGCATAAAATTCCATTGTGTATAAATACCACATTTTCTTAATCCATTCGTCAGTAGTGGGGCATCTTGGCTGTTTCCATAACTTGGCTATTGTGAATAGTGCCACAATAAACATGGGTGTGCAGGTGCCTCTGGAGTAACAGTCTTTTGGGTATATCCCCAAGAGTGGTATTGCTGGATCAAATGGTAGATCAATGTCTAGCTTTTTAAGTAGCCTCCAAATTTTTTTCCAGAGTGGTTGTACTAGTTTACTGTTGTGCTCTTGGGAGGTGGTAGAACCTGTTAGGTGAACCCTAGCAGAAGGAAGTTTGGTCTTGAGGGTGAAAGGGACATGCTACTGAAGGGAGTTTTGGATCCTAACCCCTTCTTTTCCCCCTGCTTTCTGGCTGCCATGAGGGAATATTCTCCTCTGACACAGTTCGCCATGATGCACTATGTTGCCACAGGCCCAAAGCAACAGGGTGACTATGAACTGAACTCTGTGAGCCATGAGCCAAAATAAACCTTTTGTCCTTTCAAGTTTCTTGAGACATTTTGCTACAGTAACACAAAGGTGACTAACACAAACAGCTCCCCTCACGCCACCCATGAGTTTGTGGTGGCGGGGGGAGAGGAGAGAGAGGAGATAGAGAAGAGAGAGAGAGAGAGCAGAGAGAGAGAGGAGAGAGAGAGGAGAGAGAGAGAGAGAGAGAGAGAGAGAGAGAGAGAGAGCTGATTCTTCTTAGAGTAGGAACAAACTTTTAAATATTTTGTGTTTTTCCTTTTTGATCTTATGTATTGTTATCTTCCTAACAATGTTAAGTTCTGGGTGGAAGAGACTGTATTTGGCTAGAAGTTCTTTGTACTTCTCTTTGGTACCTAGGAGAGACTCACTGCAAAGACTGAGCCACTGAAAGCTGGGTATAAAGGTGGGAGTTTAGAGATCTCTTTGCTAGGAGGGATCATTGAGGTTGGTCAGCATGCAGCTTAAAATTCAATTTGGCAAATTCAGTGTCAAGTCATCCTATGGTTTAAACCCTGGTGTGGAGATGAGTCTGATATGGTTCATACAGCAGTATACAATTTTTTATTTTTATTGAAAAGAGTTAAAGTGTTTTGCCAGACTGTGAGAGATGGATGCTGAGAAGCGCATTGTCTGGGGCTGCTGTAAAATGGTAGATGAGTTGGGTGCCAGTGGGTCAAATCCTAGCTACTTGGGAGGCCAAAACTGGGAGGATTGAGGTGTGAGGCCAGCACAGGCAAATAGTTCATGAGACACCATCCCCCTCTGCACCTCCAAAAACCCCAGTAACAACAAAAAAAAACCCAGAGCAAAATGGACTAGAGGTGTGGCTCAAGCAGTAGAACATCTGCTTTCTAAGTGTGAAGCCCTAAGTTCAAATCCAGTCCCACTTAAAACCAAAACCAAAACAGTCCAGAAAAATCAACCAGGCAAGAGGCTTTTGGGAAACTTTGGATGGTGAGGGGAAAAGTCCTGTCCAAAACCCCCAATAAACACCAAGGTAGGAGACCTTGGAACTTTTGTCAGCTGGACCACCAGGTGCCCAGAGCATGGTGGCTGCTGAGTATGCTCACTGACACTGTGCAGGAATGCCTTTCCCATTGGGTTCACTGAGCACAGTGCTGTCAAGGGGTGCTTAGGCACAGACTTCTGGGTAACACATACTTTTGTAATTGGTAAAACTTAATTCACAAAATTAGCGCAAGGGGTATTAAGTACACATAGGGCTATGTTACACTTAAAATTACTTTTGAATGGCAAAGTACCACCAGCCAGTTGGTCTTTTTGAGTTGCTAGAGCAATGGGGAGCACACCTGTAATGCAGCCTAATCTTACTTTTTACAAATGCTGCTGTCGTGAATTCTTCTAGCTTCTCTTCTATGTCTTGGTCTCCCCAGCCCAGTTTTCTGTCACTGGAGGCACTGATACTTTTCCAGGTGCTTAAGATATGATCTGCCCTTCCAAGGGAAGCCTGTGGTAGACATTCTTCACATGCAGTTAACACCCTGGATGGAGTTAATGAACCAAGACTTCACCTGCTTGGCAGAGGTTAATGTTTTAAGTCTTCCCGGTTACAAAGGATTTCTGGAGAACTGTGATTTTTTTTTCAGCAAGAAAGTCTGGTTCTCCTGTTCTTGCACTTCTGATGTCGGCAAGGGGATCTCCACCATTCTGACCAGAAGTGGCAGTAACTTGACAGGCAGTGCCTTAGTCTAGGGCCTGGCCTATGGGGAGTCCAGCTGGCATGTTCCAGTAGATGAGGCAGCCTGCTGTCCTGGGTGGCGAAATAGTTTCACTGTGTCCTTGGGAGCAAAAAGTTGTTCTTCAAAAAGTGGTACCTTCACAAAGCAAGGCACTCAGGATAGGAATGTAAGTTTGGCCTGATAGGTTTGGCCACTGCTTAGGTTTTTTTCTGTTTCTATTAAGAAGCAGAACCTGTGACTGTTTCTTAATTGATGGTCACCTACATGGGAGGAGGGCCAGAGTGGCTGGCAAGTCAGTCAGGTCACAGGTCAAATTTATAAGCCTGCCTGCTCCCAATGCAAGTCACACATAGGGAAAGCTCCGTCTAGCCTTCACAAGCTGTCACAGACAGCCCTCCTCACCTGCCCAGCTGGTTAATCTCCTACGTCCCTGCCTCCTGCACTGGCAAGCTGGGCTGTTTAATGAAGTCAGTCCATAAAGTGTGTAGGTTGTGACTTCTGCAGAGTGAGTGCTGGCACCAGAGGTTAAGAAAAGCCCTCATTTCTACAGCCATGTGGAATACTGGAGGTCTTCAAAGGACCTCATTCATGAGTGCAGCTAGGGGAAGAGCCGAGACCACAGGCTCCCTCTTAAACCATGGAAATCAACAGAATCGAAGAAAAACTGTGAGCTAATCCTAATTTTTTTCTTGACATACCTAACATGATCTTGCTATCATTAAACAAATCATCTGAAAGTGCAAACTGAAGAGCAGCAGTAGCACAATATGACCACCACAAGCCTGATTTTGAATAGTTTATTAAAGGAAAGGTGAAGCATCAAGTTCAAATTGTACAAAAGGAAAAAAAACCTCATATTGCAAATGTACAATTTACAGAATTACTAGCAAAACCAATCAAGGAGACACTGAAAATACAAAAATCTGATTGACTTCAAACCGACTGGGAACCCATTGGAGTTGATTTTAAGCATTTGTTGTTGCGTGGTGTTCTGGAATTCTAAGTCAGCATGTGTTTTCCACAGGAGACTGTCAAGCAAAGGGTCAATCTGTGCATGTGCCAGGGCCCCTCAGGGCTTGTGCCCTGGCAAGAAATGCAGAAAGGCTGGGCGGACGATCTAGGCATGCCTGCCCCATGACTCCCAGTGAAGCCTACATTTCTAGGAGAAGGTGAGGCCCCAGCTCCCTCAACTGGAGCCCAGGAATTGCTGAATTAGCATTTTTGATGAAATTAGCATTTCTGAGCCTTTTTTTGAACTGTACAAATGTTGAGGAAAAATTTGTTTTATGTCTATTTACTAAAAGGGTGAATAAAATCCATTTTGCTTTCCCTCACAAAAGATACTCATTGGGTGCACAGAATTTTAAAAAATGCTTTCATTTTTGGTAAAAAAGGAAAGCCTCATGATTCTGCTGCAGCTATTTTAAAAACCAGCGCAGAAACAGCTGTGGACAGATTGGTTTGGAAACTCTGAGGCTTACATTAAAAGCCAGAAAGGAAGGAACTAAGGGGGCTTTTAGAAACAATAGCAGCAAGTCATAAAAACTAAGCAGACTGTAATTCTAACCACTGACGACTGTCCTGAAGATTCGTAAATATGAACATTTAACCCTGAAATGTAGCTGCATTTCAAGGTAAGCGTAGGAACCTCACCCTCTAAGCACAGACTTCTATGCAGCACATAACCTTCTATGATTGGTAAACTTAATTCACAAAATTAATTAATGCATTAAGGGTATTAAGGGCATGGGAAGTAGACACAGTTATGTTACACTGAAAATTACTTGAGTGGCAAAGGACTTGTTCATGATTATTTTCATAGGAATATGGAAGTCTGTGTAACTTGAATTTGGTAGGGCATGAAGTAAGTGGTAAAAACAGCAAACTGATAACTTGAGAACATTTTTGTTTTACTGAGAATACTTTATTTGCTGGTAGAAGTTGCTAAAAATGCACAGAACAAATACCAATAGAAAATGCACTGTATTTGGATCTCCCTATTCTATATAAAATGAACGGTGTACAGCATCTGTTGGAAAAATGGCTGCATGGACATTTCTTATTTTATGCCCACTTATAAATAAAAATAAACCTTTTTATTCAAGAGTATATAAAATCTGGGAATTCATATCATATCATATCCACAGAGGGTGTGTGGTTTTTGGCAGAGATGCACGATGTCACAATTTCATCTTCGCTTGTTATGTTCTTTCCTTCAATGTGTCTGTGTTCTTACAAGGTCAACCAAATCCAGTGAGCTCCAAAAACACTCTTCGGCAATTAGGATGAGCTGCTTACTCATAGATTTAATAAAAATGGTTAGCTTTTAAAACATAAAAAGGCAAAATGTTAAAACGGTTTTTAAATTGTACAACAGGAAAATAAAGTTAAAAATATTTTTTTACTCAATGCTGAGTTTTCATAAAACAGGTGTATAACAGTGTTTATCTTGACAGCTGTTTTAAAAATTTAAAATTTTTTTCCTTCCTCCAGAAAAACACACACATCTGTACTGATAAGTTCAACATTAAGACAGAAATGATTTTCCGGGTCAGTCTTTCTGAGGTGACATTCACCACCATCTCCTTGGGTAATTTACATGCTCTTCTTCGTCACTGCAAAAAGGGAATGACCTTTAATCATTTGATTAAAAAACAAATCAGATCACATCAAAAGTGTTTTTTTCCCATACAAGCTATCACAGTATATAGGCCTCTAGCTCTAAATAATAGAGTTCCAGATTTGTAAATTTTTCTTCAGACTTCAGAACATAGGCATTCCAAATCCCTAGAAAAATGAAAAACACAATTAATTTCATACATACACAGGACCCAAACCATAAATAAAAAATAGTAATGTTTTGCTATTTACTGAATCGTCTTCTATGATAGCTGCAGAGTCAAAAAAGTCTGGCCTCAGCTCTGCTCTCTCTCGCCGATTTCTTGACGGGGGCTGAAAAGAGAAATCACTTATTTTCTGTGATCATCACCCAGTATTTCTGGCAGTATCCTAAATATACAGAAATATTAAAGGTCACTTTCAAAGCAGAATGAGAAATGTAGCTTGTTTTTGAGACAGGGTCTTGCTATATTTATAATAGCCGCAGTCTGGTTCATGATCCTCCTTGCTTCAGCCTCCTGGGTGACAGTCTGGCTTTCATATGAAACACAGATTTTTTTTTTTAATTTGCAGTACTTCTGTTTTTTAATTAGCAAAATAAAAGGCAAAGCTTTCAAATTTTAATGAATAAACTGAACATGTATATGCACGTAAATAATTTTGGACCCAGAAACACAAGACACTGAAGAGTTGTAGAAATGGTCACTGCTAGGCGACAGACTTCAGTAGTATGGAATGCTACTGAAGGGTTGCTGACAGGAAGGCTGTAGACTGAATGACATCTTTTTTTTTTGCCCAGGCTGGCCAGGACCGTGATCCTATTTTACACTTACTCCCAAAACCGGGATGACAGGCATGCAGTCCCATGCTCTGCTTTTTACACTAAGATGGGGCAGCCTTCCAAGCTATTTGCCAGGGCCAACTTTGAACTGTGGTCCTCATAAGAAACTAGGATTACAGGCATGGGTGTCTGTCTTAAGAGAATGTGACTTAGAAAAGAGGTAATTCAGGTAGAGGTAAGATAGGTGGGTCCTAATGAAACGTGACTGGTGTCTTTAGAAAAAGAGAGATACTTATAGGAATGACCATGTGAACACAATGCGAAAAGGCAGCCCATCTATACACCAAGGATAGAGGACTCAAAATGAAATCAACTCTGCTGATACCTTCATTTAAGCCACCCAGCTTATTTATTTATGTATTATGGCAGGCAGCCTTTGCCAACTGGGAAAGCAGTTGATGAGCTTCTATAGCTGTAACAGTTGCCAAACATTGGTCTGTTGTACTTCCCTGAGTTTCTTCACTGTTTTTACCTTTAACTATGTTTCAATATGTTATCTATAACTAATGAAATTTTTTTAATGGGACAAGGGCTTGAACTCAGGGCCTCATGCTTGCTAGGCAGGCACTCTACCACTTGAGGCATGCCTCCATCCCCAAAACTTACTTTTTTATATTTTTATTTTTTGGTACTCAAGATTGAACCCAGAGTCCAGTGCACGCTATGCAAGTGTTCTACCATTGAGCTACACCCTCATCCCTTTTTATTTTGCGAGAGGGTCTCACTGCAGTAGTTCAGTTGGCCTTGAACTTTGAATCCCCCTGCCTTAGTCTCCCAAGTGATGGAATTAAGAAGCATGTGCCACCATGCCTGGCTGTCTAGTGGAAACTTTTTAAATGTCGTAATACCATGCATTACTATCTTCAAAAAATAATTTCTTAGTTGCATCTGTACTTGGTTCATGTTCAGACTTCCTAATCTCAAACATATCTTTATTCTGAACAGTTTCACATTCTACATTCGTTATGTTGGAACAGTGTATGTCATCTGACTTCAACTAAGAATACAAGATGTCAGTACACTGTGCCAAAAGTTCTAGTGTAAATTTTTTTCAAAAGTGAAAAGGAAGAACTGGATCCTGTTTTTCCAGAATTCAAAATATGGCAGTTTTGAAAGCAGGCTTGATTAAACAGGTAAGGTTATCCAAAAGCCCAGTGCTGGTCAATGTTACCAATTCTCACCTAGCCACAGCATTCTGAGAACAAGAGGAACATCTAATCCCAATGCCTCACTCATTTTCACAGAAGAAAAATGGAGTGAATTTCCTTACCAGATCAATAACCATGGTGTCTTCAAATTCTTCATTCATATCTTCTAACTGGCTCCGGGACGACATCATCACATCTTCAAAGATGGGTTCAGCATCTTCCTCCATTAGACCCCGACTGGTAAGGGAAAGGTCTAGTCAGAAAACTGTTCAGATTCACCCAATTTGAAGTCCTGGCTCACTCTTAATTAGTACACTTTCTAATTATGACCTACAGATCACACAGATTATGATACTCAACTCCAACACAATTCAGGATCATTCCTTTGGTTCTCTCAAACTTTTACCTCAACTCATTAGAATAAAGTATAATTAACTGCAATAGGATATTTATATATAAATAAAACATTTATTCAGCTGTATGTATCAATTCCCCCAAATTCTGCTTGATACTGTTATCTCAAAGTCATAAATGAGGAACCAGAGGTACAGGTGTTTTAGAGCAAGCAGCAGCGCTAGGATTCAAATGCTGAAAGCCTTAAGAGCCCATGCCCTTCTATTACTACCCTATGCTGCATAGCATATCCAGAATTCTAATTTTAACTCCTAAGACTAAACAGATACCCAAATAACCAGCATCACACAATTGTTAGGTTCTTGTGATACTTGATGCAACACTTACACGGCATGCCTTACTCCAGTTCTCACTTTCATGTAGTTCATTCCTGTTCTGTCCTTCCGATTTAAGTCTTCTAACTTCGGCTGGCCTAACCAAGAGATCTGCATCTGAGGACTAAGAGACGGAACTATTATTTATTTTTGTGGTAGCAGATGATATATTTAATCAGCCCCACACTAAGAAGGTCATGGTTGGCTGGCCTAATCCCCATGTAGGGGGAATTAGTTGGATTTATTCCAGTGAAGTAAGTTTCCTGAAAATATCCGTAAGTCTCCTAGAGAAGTAGGCTGGTGCTAGTTATTAATGTTTAAACTATGTGTCAGCCTCATTCCTAAATCTCTGCTAAATAAGGATGCTTTTCAGACCTGTTTCAGGTTGCTGCACCATTCACAGAGATACCTTATTGGAGAGCAAGGCCCTAAGGAACAGATGATGCTGGCCTGGCAGCTGAAAACTTTCTCTAGGGTTAAACAAGGAAGGATGTAACACATCTTTTCTCGGTACTTAGAACTTAGACGTTGTTACTGAGTCAAACCTTCACCTGAATTCTTATCAGCACGTGGGAGCTTGTGCAAATTTGCCTCTTGGGAAAGTGACTTTTAGCAGATAAATCAGTCACATGAAATTCTAAGTAGCTGTTTTTACATCCTGTGGGGAAGGACTGACTGGCTAAAGGGACTAACAAGTGGTAAGGTCAGGGTGGCAAAGCAGGCTGCTCAAGTAAGAAGAACCCACCATGAAGGAAGAGGGATGGTAAAGGAAGAGGGGTGGTGACACTTGCATACCCATCTAAGCAAAGCCTTTCTGAAGGCTGCCCAGCAGCACAACAATCCCCAGTTACACAATGGCTGACAATGACTGTCCTCTCAGATTTGAAGAAAGATCTTTTGGTGCAAAGCTGCCTTAAGAAACCCCAGGATTTGAGTTGTAATACTTGTACATACTGCCTACTTTCCACTTTCAAACTACTAAAATTGTTGAGTTCCAGTGAGAATTCCTCTTATTGATTAGAGTTAAGTAATTCACAGCATTACCCCAGTATACACAGATACACAAGTGAGGAAAAAGAATTAAAAATTGCAGAGAAAACAATACAAAATTAGTATTTTTACAGCAAAACTCATACCATTACCCTTGCTTTGTCTACAGTTTCCACAGCTCCATGTACCAGAAAAATAGTAATTGCCAATGTGGTTAAAAAGTAAGACCATAATTGTGAAAGAGCAACTATTCTTAGAATGTATCAAATATCTTAAAAATTCTTACTCCACAGTTTAAAAGTGGACAATAAAGGTAACAGCGTTTGCTTGGTGCTTGATTGCAGACAAGAGGCTCTCTTGCTAAGGAAGTAACCTGCTTTATCTTCTGAGAAGAAACAGACCTGCCCAGTGAACATGCAAATTACATTCTATAACTTCTCACAAACTAGCCTCTATTTTGTGGCTGTATTTTCTCAAGATCTGACAAGCAGTGCATTTTGATGAACAAAATTTTTCTTGAATAGTTTAACAGTTAAAAAGATTTTAGGACCAGAAAATGAAGTTTTAGTTCTTACTTGTGTAAAAAGTCTGGTTCAGACCCGTGCTCAGACTCGGGTTCCTGGATCTGCTCTCCCATGGGCCTGCTGTTCTCTCGCAACACAGTAGAAGTGAGCTGTGGGGCTGACAAGGGGCCCGGGGTCTGAATCATGGTGTCAGTCCTGTTTAACCACGTGTTATCCAAACTTTCATCTGTGAAATTCCAGTTAGAGTTTCAGAACATCAGATGGAGTGAACTCTGGTAGCAGTTAGAGTACTAACTTGAAGACCATGGCTCTGCAGTAAGACTACCCAGTTTGAACCCCACTGCCTTGTAAGACTTTTTTTTTTTTTAATTACGCTATTAAACTTTCAAAGTTCAGTTTTCTCATATATAGAATGGGGATATCAGTACTTAACCTCACAGTTTATGAATTAAATGAGGTAATATACCTAATCGTATCATCACATTGTTGGGTCTCCCAAGTCCATCTCTCACAATTCATTCACTCTAAAAGTGAGGAAGTAGGGTCAACAAGAGACCTCTTCAACCTTCCTTTGCTCAAACGATGAAGGGCCTGTTTCCTATGTCTCACAGGCACCCTAGGCAGTAGCACATAGATTGGCTGGCCTTTCTGGAGTAATCAGCAAGTCCCCTTACACAACCGAACACTCATCACCAGGTTATACAGGTGCAGATAGGGAGGCACAGTTTTTGTGCCTCTAAATCCCTCAGAGAAGCCTCTGATCACACCGCCCAGCCTTCAATTACCATTCTCATTTAACTTCTAGGGGAAATAAAATGATTTCTGTTTACTTAGGACTTAATTATACACTATCCTGTATTAGCAGGTGATTTGTCATGTGTATATGTTATCTCTGTAATTAGGTTTATGTTCCTTCAAAAGGCTAGGAACTGTTTTTTCTTCTTCTGAAGATGGTTTATAAAGATTTAAGCAGATTAAAGCATTATTTGCATACCTAATTATATTCTGATAAAATAAGGCATTAGTTAAAAAGTTTCTACCTATAAGCACTTTTAAATTATTTTAATCTGAGATTTAAAAAAAAGTATTCTGAAGAATCTTAGTCACAAAGTATAGCATGACTCCCATTGTTTTTCCTCTCTCTATTAAGTCTTAAGTTAAGTTCCTCAATTGCCAACACCCTGTCAGTGTTTTCCAGGGTTCCAATACTTTATCAGACACATACACATTCTGGTGTGGCCCTTCTGTTCCTGAAAATGGTTTCACCCACTGTCTGGTTAAGGCAGTTCTTCTGATCTCAAGCTCACAATCAACAAAGGTATGTTTAATCATTTATTCATACTATTTTCATTGAATATGAGATTCAAATCTTTAATCTCTACCACACTTAAAATTTTATGGGCAAAAGATCTGTATGATTTAGATTCTTAACCTGATAAAAAGCATCTGTCAGGTCTCTACTTCATCTCATCTTCTACAGAAAATCTTTCTCAACTCCTAAAAAATTTGATCACGCCTGTGTTCGGCCTATTACAGCATTCATCTTGCTGAACTCAAATTGCCTGTTTCTCTTTTCTGTCTCACCATGTGCACTGAGAGCTCCCCATTCCTACAAAGGTGCTTGGAAGAGAATGTATGAGTTGATTCTTCTTGAGGAGATCCTTCTAGTCCTTTAAAGATTCCACAGTGAAATAATTTCTTGTAATATTCATGTCCACCCCAAACAGATGAGCTGCCTAAGAGCTCTAGGCATGTTTTAAATTCACACAGACCAAGTTTTCTTTTTGCAATTTAACAATTACCAAATTAGGTTATCTGGTCCATATATGCTTCCTACAGTCTTAAAAATGATAATAATGTTTTATTAGTGGATTATATATGGTTATTTAAGTTAAGTCTTAATTTATTCTGTGTAAAATCTGGGTAACTACTGAAGTCAAACTGATTTATAAAACATTTATAAATAATTAAATGATATAACACATGAAAAACAGCAAAGATTTGGTGAATGTTAGCTAATAAGAGTATTACGTCTAAGGAAAGCTGAGTGGAAAAAATACATATAGCCATGGAGCACCCTGAAAGAGGCTGCTGCAGTAGAAGACATTTTCAAAGGAAAATGACTACAGTCATTCTTTGGAGAAAAGTCTGGGATCCTAAAGCACAAAGACAGGATTTTTACATTTCATTCTTTAAAACTAAAAAAGACTAAGTCTCAAGCTGAAACACAAAAAGACATCTTAAATTTTGTTAAACGTTAATTTTTATTCACTTTGAAATACAGATGCCAGCTAATCCACTGACTGATGCTAAACAAGAAGTACTACTGCATGATCATGGTGACATCCTGAGAACAGCAGCTGACATCAGTTAGTCAGGTGCTGTGCTGAGGACTGTGTGTGCACTATGGTTTATTTGGACTGTCTCATTTAATATTCCTAGTAACTGTACTAGGTCAGGTACTAATCAGCCTTCGTTTTATCATTTATTAAAGCTTAGAGAGGTTAAATAACATTCTTAAAGGTCACACAGCTGACAGATGTGAAAGCTGGGCTTGAATTCTGAAACTCTAATTTTAGAGTTTGTGCTCTTCATCAATAGTCAATACTTCTTCCCTAATAATGAAAAACACATTAGATTTAAATTTGAATCAGTTTTGCCACAGACTTTACAAAACCTTTGGTAAGTCACTTTTTTAAGGCAGCAGAGGTGAGGTGCTGAAAACTGAACATGAAGTTATAATGCTTTGTTTGAACAGAGCAATTTTTAGTCTTTTTTGATATGGAATATACTGATTAGATTTTTGTGACAGTTCAACTCTGTTCCCCACAATCTAACAGGATTATAAAACCAGATTTGTCCACGGTACAAGAATAAATTACTCAATCTAACAACAGAACTGGAAAATTATTTGGGCATATTCAACTTGTTGCAGAAGTCTACCCTCAAATCACAGTAGCCCTCCTATATTGAGATGAATTTTAATAGAACAGCACTAGCTTAAATGTTAATGTATTAGAAGCATAAGCATATGACATGGGGATCAACTTTACAATCTTTCATAATTGTTTCTTCTTTTCTCTGTGGCAGGCTTCTTCTATTCTCCAAAAGGAACTTCAAGGTCCTTGACTTTTTTGTCCCACTGTGTCTATTCCAACCTTCTTTAACCTGTATATCTCAGTGTGTCAAACAAGGATGTAATATGCCTAACACTATCTTGCTTAAAAAAAATCTCCATAAAGCCAAGCAAACTATTTTTTTCATAGTATAAAGGCAGACTTACCTTCTACTCGTTTTTTGTGAAGTGGGGGCCGTCCTTTCTTATTCCTTACTGATGAAGTTTTGCTGCTGCTACTTCCACTGTTAACAGACATTCTATCATCTTCACCCCCAGTTACTAATGAATTTCTATAGGAGATGAGTGGAAGCCATACATCTTCCCTCCGTTCCATCATCTGCTCAGTAAGGAATTTCTCAAGATATGAATGACTAGAAACACAATACAAGCAGCAGTGATTTTCATGTAAACTCTTTATGCATCATTTATTTAGTTTTGCTTCACACATAACTAGAATAATTTCAAACCCTGTGTGTTGATTCTCTCCTGTATTACTTTTTTTGCTTTCAAGTATCAATAATAAAAAAGAAAATCAGAATTTTGGCTCAAAGAGATTACTGAGTTTCTTTCAATGCTGAAATCAGAAGATTTCTAGAATGGTGAAGGAGGGAGCTGGCATACCCTTACCCCAGCAAAATAACCTTTGAAGTGGTAGAAATTTAAAAACACCACAATTTAATGTCTTCAGGAATTATTTTAAGAGCATATAGCAAATGGAGAAAAATTTACTCAAGAAAATCTGAACCTTGGTAATAGTAAGTGCTGATTATTATAAGCACTTCTGTAAATGTCACAATGTACCCCCAGTACAACAATGCTATGATAATTAAGCACTGGTAAGCATTTGAACCACAGCTTGTTACTTTCCTTGTCCCTTCTTCCTCATTATAGCTCTGTGTTGTGGAAACTACTCCAGGCAGGGAGATAAGAGGATGGGAACTCTCTCTCTCCAACTCCCAGTCTTGGGATACTGGAGAGGAAGAAGCACACCATTTGCCTTTCTCATTACCCCCAGCTCTGTGTTGCAGAAGCTCGATTCTGAATTGGAAAGATTTGAGGCTCCTTTCTCCTACACAGCATCAACTCATGGGACAGAACAGCAGACTGAGAATACTAGAGTTTTAAATGCCCCACATCTCTACTTCACCTGAAAGAGGCAAGCTGAGAACCAGAGGTTTTTCCTACTCAGAGAGCAGAAGTACTATTTTAGAAGAGGGATGATGTCCCATATCTCATCCGCCCCTCTTTCCCCCTTCAGTGGCAAAATGTTAAAAGTTTTTCCCAGGGTCTGAAGCAGACTGCAAGGAAGATGCCCTCTAGCTGTGTCTGGGGAGTGGGGGTGGTGAAGGAAAAAAGGTACATAACTGACTTTTATTTGAAGTAAGAGTACAGAAAATTCCTTTCCTAAGGATCTTGTTGAAAGCAATAGGAATCCTGATGGGGGGCCAGTAAGAGGGTGCTCGTAACTCTTTGATATTACCAACAAGTGACAGCTGAGAATCCAGAAGCTAACAGAGAACAAGGGAAAGAGACAGCCAAGAAGAGCCCTCCTGGGTATCAATCATTTCCTGGAAGTGGACATGTTAATCAGCTTGACTGTAGCAATCAGTACACATGTAAGTATATCAAAACCCTATATATCTTAAATATATATTTTTATTTCTTAAGGGAACAACCCCCTCCCCTCAAAAAGAAAGTGGTTCTTAGAGAGCTCCAACTGAATTTGAGTACAGCCTACTTCATCCTCCAGTGTGCTTATATTGTTCTGAATTTTTTTTCCCACGTCAGCACTGGAAGAATGCTTTATTACCAATCCCAGGTGGTTATTAATGGGCCGCTGGGCTGGGGATTTAGCTCAGTGGAAGAGCAAGTAGCAAGTGCAAGGCCCTGAGTTTGGGGGCAGGGGGAAAGGCAGCTGGGCTAATTTGGTATTTCAAATGTTTAGTCTTTTTTTTTTCTTTCCTCCTTTCAAATGTTTATTCTTATGTAAAAGAAGGATAACATCTCATTTTGTTATTACCCTGCTTATATAAGTGCTATGCTTAAAGTAAGAATCTATTGTTTATAGGCTTCAAAATTTGAGTTTATTCATTAAACTGATTTGTAACAGCTTAAAAAAATCCTGGGAGTTGGGAAAGCTATACACACACACTAAGCTGTACTCACTTATGGGCAAATAGGGCAGGGAATGGGGCAGGCTTGAAAGCATTCTCCAAGCTCCAACAAATCTGCGAACACAGATTTATTACTAGCAAAAAGGTATTAAACATAGCCTCTAACTAAATATTGGTTGAACAATAATCTATTCTGACCTAGGGGAAACTTCTAGAAAGCTAGGCCTAAAAATAAAAACTGTTTCACTGGCTGCCTAGAAGATTATACATGCCAAGGATGCCTGTTCCAGGAGCAATCTCTGGCTTAAAACATGGGCAAAAATGTAAACACCATGAATTAAGACAAGTCACACAACCATCCAACCATAAGGGCAAACATCTAACTAGCTGAGGGAGCTTATGCACAACCTCTGATCAATAAGTGGCTTATGCTGATCCAGGGGTTACTTATAGATAGCCATGTCAAATGTTAAAAAGGAAAATGGATCTGAGCAGGGACATCAGAGGCTTACAAGGCAGAGGAAACAGATTTTACACAGTTTGTTCATCCAAGTAACCAAACAACAGTAAATGTCTAGGAGGGCAGATAATCAGCATCAAAAGTAGGTAAATAGTTACTTTACTATGTTTTTGTAACACAGTATCTAAAATGTCCAAAAATAAATTTAGACATGGAAAAAAACCAGGGATACAGATGTACATGTAGGAAAAAAAGCAAGTAATAGAAAGCTGGCCCACAAAGATTGCAAAGTAATTGACATAAAAACAACCAAAGAACTAAAAATTAGAGGTGTGATGAAAATATCCCTCATCAAATAGAGATTATGAATAAAAAGAAAAAAAGACATATAATACAGGGGTTCAACAACAGAATAAAACTGGCCAAAAAAAAAAAAATTAGCAAACTTGAAGATACATCAAGATGTGATCCAATGTGAAGACAGAAAAAAGAAGATGAACAGAGCCTGAGAGAAATGTGAGACACCATTAAGAGTACTGACATGTATGATGGGAAAACCAAGAAAAGAGAGAAAGGAATAGGAAAAAATGACTAAGGTTTTTAGATTCATAGAGGTGGTAGCAAGATAGTGGCTGAATAAGATCTTTCAGCATTACTTCTCCACAGGTATACCAACCTGAGCAACTATTCACATACCAGACTACCTCCCTTCACAAGAACTGAGGAAACCAGGTGAGAGACTATAGTACTTGAATTTGGTATATTAAGAAAAGACGCATTGGAAAAGGTAGGAAGAAAAGAGCTGCCCATGCCACTGTTTCCCCCAATTCCAATCAGTGGGGAGAGCTTGTCCCAAGTCTAAGCTTCATCCTTAGACTTGAAACCGAGTACCAAGACCACTATAGTGAAACTCAAGTGCTAGACAGACCCCCATGACATATGCACAGACTAAGCTGTAGGAACTGCATTAGCCCTGTGGTTAAGAGAGTGCTTCTATTACTCCTCTCCCAACCTGAAGCAACAGAGGTGGAATCAAGGTTCTATTTGCTGGGAAGCAGGGCACAAAAGCTAGCATAAGACTTTGCCTTGACGCTCAGAGGTGGGCTTGCTATAGTGAGACTCAGCACTAAGCAGCAAACAAAAACCATCATCATAGGCAAGAGCCTGCAGATGGAGGCTCTAAACCTGCCCTGGTGCTAAGTAAAGATCTGCACAATAGCAAGACTGCCTTACATTTTGGCCCACATCACAGCCAGTCCAGGCCCACTCTTTCCCCCAGACTATGAAATTTCCTGTTTTAGGTGTAGCCCAGCTTAGTGTCAGTCAGCCTTAGTGGGCAAAGGGCTCAGGGGGTGACACACACTGTATCACTGGTAGCCACGGGCATGACACAGGAGCCTGGGGTTGGTCCCTCCAAGGTGATACTGAAGAGTCACCCTGAGTGGAAGAATCTGAAGCCTGACCCTAAGGAGAGGGAGAAGGGAGGGACTACCCATTGTAGATATTCCTCCAGTTCATGCTGCAGAACATACCAAATGCAAATCTGGGGCAAACCTGGGCCTGGATTGCCCCCTAGGACTGAAACAGCCATAATACACCAATAGTGGACTCACAGCAAACCTGGAAACACAGTGGCATCCAGTAGTAAAAACACAGACAAAAAAAAAAAAAAAAAAAAAGGTCAGATTATGAAGACTGAAATAAATACCCACTGTCTCAAAATGCAGACAACATTGTACATCAAGAAGTATCAGGAGCTGGGGATGCAGCTCAGCGGTAGAGCACTAGCCTGGCATCTGCAAAGCTTTGGATTTGATCCCCAGCATTGCACAACACAAAACAAACAACAACAAAACTTTTAGGGAACTATGATCTCACCTAACTGTCAAAATAAGGCACCAGAAACTTATCAAATAACGTATGGATGAACTCTAAAGGAGAGTTTAAAACAGCTGCTTTAGGGAAACTCAATGAACTTCAAGAACACAGAGAAGTAGATCAATACTGTAACAAAGAAACAGGGAGATAGAAGTCAAAAAATACACAAGTGAAATTTCAATTATGATAAATTATCAATACCAGGACAGATCAAAAATTTGTGAACTAGAAGACAGGCTATCTGAAAACACAGTTGGAACAAAAAAAACGAAAGTGGAATGAAGAAAGCTTATAGGAACTTTGGGACAGTACTGAAATACCAAATATTCAGGTTACTAGGGTTTCAAGGACTTGAAAATGCCAAAGAATATAACTTATGTGAAAAAATAATAAAAAGAACTCCCCAAAACTAGAGAATATAAATATCCAGTACAAAAAGGTCAAGGGTCACCAATCTGATTTAACTCTACCAAGGATACCACAAGACATAAAATTATAAATAAATTCTCTCAAAAGTGAAAGAAAAGATTCTCAAGGGAGCAAGAAGAGAAACAAACGTGTGGATATCCTAGTTCTGACAGACAACCTCTCAGTAGCCTACCACTGATGGCTCATGCCTGCAATCCTAGCTAATCAGGAGGCAGAGATAAGGAGGATTGTCATTCAAACTCAGCCTGGGACAAACAGTTCTTGAGACCCGATCACAAAATAGGGCTGGTGGAGTGCCTAAAATGGTAGAGCACCTGCCTAGCAAGAGTGAGGACCTGAGCTCAAACCCCAGCACACAAAAAAACCCAACAACAAAATAAACTTTACAGTATAGAAGAATATCTTCACAGTATTAAAAGAAGAAAACTTCAGACGGAAATGCTTTATCGAGCAAAGGTAGAAGGAGAGACACAGACATCTCACACAAAAGCTAAGAGGTTACATCTTTACTGGACAGCCCAACCAGAAACGCTAAGCAGTGTTCTTCAAGGGGTAAGAAAAGAGACAAAAAATACTGAATGATATGAAACTCACAGGTAAGTGTAAGTATAGAGATAAGTTTAGAATGCTCTTATATCTTAGTATGAAAACTAAAACAAAATGAAAATAAAAACTACATTATTATATGGATATAGAGGCAATATGGATGGATGCAAAAAGGGACACCAACATGGGAGGAATGAGGTACAAATGTATAGCATCCCTCCCTCCTCTCCCTTCCTCCCTCTGCCTCTCAAATGCTGGAATTACAAATATGTCCCACCATGCCTAGCGAAAGTTAATCTTCTTGAAACAAGTAAAAGTACAGAGGGTCATAAATATCTCAGCCAATGTTCATACACCTTTCAAGTGCTTAATTTCATCTCGCATTTTGTAGGTTACTAAAAGCTGTGAAAGAACATTTGTAGAAAACTTGGAAGACAGCTGCAGGACCTTAAAACTCCTGGAGCTGGCAGTATAGCTAGATGATTAAAACTTTTTAAAAACATGATGAAGCTTACTATGTACAATTAAAAACTCACATTTAAAATTTTCAATAGTATTATTATAAAAACCATGTCTATTTGAATGTGTAACTTACACTGTCTTTTTGTCCTGTCGAAGAAGTTTAGAAGAAAATTCACTTAGTACTTCAAGAAAAGCCAGATTAGGAGGTGGATATTCTTGTCCTTTTTGATTTTGGTATTTAAAGGCAAACTCTATGCCATCCCTGAATTAAAAGAAAATAGTACTTTATTTTTCCAGGTGGACAGTGCAGTTCTCTCAATAGGCTAAAATTACAAAAACATTTGGGAAGGTAGTGAAATCATCCGTGAAGTTAGTAAGATCTGATAAATTCAATGGTAAAATAATGAGAATTTTATGACATATTTGTGTATATTGTATTTGTGTATTTGTGTATATTGTGTTTATTATTTGGAGCACTAATCTGTAAGTTGTAAAAAATAAAATGGAGCTACATAGCAACAAAGCTAAATTTCTATATGTACTTCTTAGGGCTAACATAATACTCCACAAAGAATTAGACTGTCAGAAAATTTGCTTTTTGGAGCTATTCCTGACATTAAGCACCTGTGTGAACTCAATTAAGGTTTCCTGTTACTCAGTTTTCACAGTTGTGAAGTAAGACTGACCAGTGCATACTCTTTTTAAACTGATGTTTCCTCCAACATTTTCTAACTGATCTACCAGGTAAGAATACATTATTACTATTCTTCTCCATACTTCAAAAAGTAGAAAAAAAAGTGTGGCTAAAGTTTTTTTCAAATAAAAAATGACTTCTAATTGAGAATCTCTAAACTACTTTACTGTTAGTTCTCATAACTTGAAAATTCTATCATTTGTCCCTTTAAAAATGGGTCAAATAAATAACTTTTATTTCAGTTAAATTTCAGCAAACCAGTTTCTGTATACAGGAAGTATTTATCTCACTCACTTGTGAAGTGTGGCAACTGCTTCTCGTGTCTTGATCTGGTCCAGTCCAAATGTAAGGGCAAAGCGACGTGCTAATTCTTTAATACCACTGACATGGGCCGATGTCCTATCTAGGTTGGGACCTTGCTCTTGCACAAGTTCATTAAACAACTGGTGGAAAGAAATAAAAAACTGGAGTAAATACACAGATAAGAAATATTTTAAATTTTATTTACTTTTGGAATTAGTAATATCATTAAAAAATATACAAAAGGCATAAGATGAAATGTTTTTCTCTTTGCACTGAATTGTACTCTTCCTGTTCCTTTAATCAGTTATTTATGAGTTTCTTGACTTCACTGTCATACTAGTAGTATGATTAAACACAGATAAAAATTTCTTTTTCTTTGAGAGAGAAATCTTTCCATCTAGCCTAGATGGGCCTTGAACTCCTAATCCAAGCCTTCTGAGCACTGAAATTATAGGCATGTACCATCACACTTAATTGTGTTTGTTTCTTTCTTTTCTTTCTTTTTTTTTCGGGGGTGGGGGGAGCAGTACTGGGATTGAACCCAGAGCCTCAAGCATGCTAGGGAAGCATTCTACCTGAGATGCAGCCTCAGCCTAATATATGCTTTCTTCTTAAAAATAAATAAAAAATGAATACATTTTGGGATAGGAAAAGGAAATATATTTACAGTTATGTCTACATATTTATTAATATCTACACATTCTTTTTGTTTTATTTTTACAGATGTGCCAATGTATGATATATAGGGTTCAGAATGCCTTTTCACTTATTGTAGACAAAAACATTATGCCAAAGAACATTATGCAAATATTCACATACAGTTGGACACATGTGGCTATGATTTTTCCCACTCAATAACAAAATACACTCAATATCCTTAAACTGGGTGGAGGAATTTTATAAATTATATGTGTGTTACACACATTCTGTCAAAGTAACAATAAAAACAAACCCAAGAGTACTAGCAATACAAAAGCAATTATTACCCCACTACTAAGCCTAGCAACTGAATTGTTTCTGTACAATCTACCTTCTCTCCTATTCTGTAGTGTAACTGTCCAGCTCGTCCTCTAAAGACACTCCCACCACATGTACTGGGCGAGGAAGAAGAACCTAAGGCTTCACCTGCTTGAGCCTTTTGTGCTCCTGTGCTCACTGCTGTCTCCTACATCATTAACTATTCATTTTTCACTAGATGTATGCATCTTACAAACCCCCCAAGTTCTTGACCCTGTTTCCTTTTCCAACTACTGCATTTCTCTGGTTCCTTTTATAGCACAGGTCCTGAAAAGCACTGTTTACATTTGATTTATTCACACTTTCTTTACATTTGTTTTTCCCACTCCCAGCTTCTAGTACACATTATTCTTTTCTCTCTCAACCTCTCAATTCACTCTCACTAACTCACTGACATGGATCCTATGTTCTACTATCTGGTCCACCTTTTTGTTTTCTTCAGCAATGGACTGGCCTGAACTACTTAGGTGCCAAAACTAGCAATGATCTTCTTACCTCTGCCTCCTGTGCAACTACATCTGAATTGATTTTCTAAGAGAGGGTCTTGCTATCTTTGCCTGGGTTGGTCTAGAACCTCAATTCTCCCATGTATGCTTCTTACATAGCTGAGATTACAAGTATATGCCACCATGCCCAGCCCGTCAGTTGTTTTTTAACTTTGGTGAAAGTGCTGACTAATGTACAAACCTAGTTCATAAAGATAATTGGATTTTTGCTGTGTGGCTTCCTTATAAAGAGAATTTTAAAAATATCCTTTTATTTTCTTAAAAACTTTAAACTTTACCATTTATATATAATGTCTAGTAGTTATTTTGGGTACACACATCAGATAGGGCTATAAATAGCTATTTTTCCAAATACCTAGTCAATTGATCCATCACCATTTACCAAATAAGTCTTAATCCTCTCCCCAATGATTTAAAATGAAACCTTTATAATAAACTAAATGTACACACACATATATCTGTACATATGTGTGTGTGTGTGTGTGTGTGTGTGTGTGTGTGTGCATGCCGCTAGACTCCCTGAAATCTCTATTTCAATTTCCTAGGCATTTACATATCAGAAACCTTATTTATACAATATATGCTGTATATTTTCTTTTCTGCATATTAATGGTACTCCTCAAATTAAATACTTTTTATTTTTTAATGACTTTCTAAATTTCCAATTTGACATTTCATGAAGCCCAAGAGTGGGCTGCCTTAGTACTTCACCTATTTGAAATGTGAATTATGGGACTGCCTTCCAATAGAAAAGACATATCTCTGCAGAGTGAGCACAGTAATGCATTGACAAAATGAGATATCTCACACATACTAAGCACACAGAAGTTTTATCTATTCATTGTCTCCCTTCCCTCCAAATTTCTTACCTGCTGCAAACTGAGAATAAGGGTCTTGGCACACTGAATTTTGTCAATCTGCCTGGTTTTACTCAGTGTTTCCTTAATAATATCACCATAGTCATTATAGTACTATGAGAAAAATAAACATCACTTTAAAATACTGAAATTTCATGAGATAAAGAACAGATTGGTGAAAAAAGGGAAGGTGACTATAAAGTATACATTTAATTTCATCTTTAACATAGTGAGAATTAAGAAATATTGTTTAAGGTTGAAGTAATACATAATTATGAAGAACTAATAATGAAACTAAAAAAGCTGGGAATTCCTAGAGGAGAGGAGGTAATGTAGGTGAGGAAAACTTCTCATTCTTCATAGCAGGACTGAAGAGACACCAATTAAAATGTGACAAATCAAGAAACAGAACTTGGTAAGAAACTTCCTGAAGAACTAAAACCAAAACAGTTAAAATTGTTTACTTCTGGATACTGAGCCTGAACAGGAGGGAATAATAGACTTAACTTTTCACTTAATATTTTAGGACACCAAGGTAGCTGAGCATGCAGATCTTTTTTAAGTCCAGATTTGAACTGTTCATGTATAGAAGTGGAAGAAAAACCACATAGCCATATACAGCAGCAAGTAGCTAGTAGAACACTCACAAACAGTTTAGAGCCTATAATGAGCAGAAGTGTGGGAAAAGAGCTATGCATAATGAAAGTTTTGAGTAAGGCTTGCTTCTTGGAACCAATACACTCCTGGTAAGAGATAATTAGGAAAAACCAGAACTCAACACTTTTTATGCTTCTCTATTTCCTGATAAGGGGAAAAACTACATAAAAAGGGTGGATAAGCACTGGTAAAATGAAACTGAGACCCATGTTTAGAGAAGAACTAATGAGAGCATCAAATCATTCTAAATGAATTAGTTTCATAGACAAGATAAATCATGTCCTAAAAAAATTTGCAGAGATTATGGAGATTTAAGATTATGCTTTTTAAGGAACAAAAAATAAGAAAGGCACTGGAGGATAGTGAGAATAATCATAGCTCTGACTTTCCAGAGGGAATAAGGTCATATGGAAAATTATACAACCTCTTCTCTTGAAAATACCTGTGCCTACCCCACATACTCTCATTCAGATTAGTAGGACCCAGGAATATGTAATTTGGAATAATACTCCAGATGACTGATAAATAATTAGGATAAGAAAAAAAAACTTTGAAGAATACATCAATAAGCGTGAAGCTGAACTTAAGTAAGACTTCCCCCCTACCCCTGTTGGTGTACTAGGGATTGAGCTCAGTCAGGGCTTGCCTAGCAAGCACTTAAGCAAAGCTATTAAAAGCAGTGAACTGAAGACTTAAAAATGAAATTTACTAACAGATCATAACAATTTTTTTGTGACAGTTTATCTGGACACCAAAAATCGGTTTAATAAGTTCTTTCGTGACTTTTTTGTAACCCCCTTAAGAGAAAGATGAGCTAAAACAGGAAGATATATTTCTGCTGCTATCTTGGCATAGGCTTTTCTTCTTTCCCAAGCTTATCTAGTATAGTCTTACTCATCTATCCAAATCATGTTTGAACACTGGCTTTAGGAGAACTTCCACTCATTAAATCTCTAAATTTGGTGTAAGCTTTGCATTTTGTGTATGTATCACTACAATAATCATGCTAAGTCTTTGTGGTTCAGTGAAAGAAGAAAGACAAATCTCAAAATCAAACCAAGTTTTTGCTACACTAATCACTGTGACTCTGGGAAAATTAATCTCTCTGAGCCTTAACTGCCTTATCTATAAGTGAAGATACTATTTCTTACCTTACAGGGTATTGTAATGAGCAAAGATTCTATGAAAGCCTTAGAACATTGTCTCAAATATCATTGGCAAAGAATGAGTGGCAGCATGCTACATCATGTTCACACTTTAGTTTCTCTAATAAATTGTAAACTCCTTAGTGCAGAAATCATGTCTTATTTAAACCTCTGCCTACCACACTGCATTTGTTCTGCATAATATGAATTAGCTACTACATATTCTAAATAACTGGGACCAGAAGTATTTTAGATTTCAGAGCCTTTTGGATTTTTGGCATATTTGCCAAAATCAAACCCCTAAATTCAAAAATCCAAAATCTAACATGCTTCAAAACCTGAATCTTTCTGAGTGTCTTGGTGCTCAAAAAGTTTCAGATTTTCGATTTTTGGATGCTCAACCTGTGTATCACAACTGGAATTGGACCATACCCAAACAGAGATAAAGATACAAGTGAACCAAATGGCACACACAATATTCTGAATATGGGCAAAATAGAAGTTTTTCTTCTTACATGACAACAAGGCAAACACGAACACTGAGAACTGTTATCTCTATCTGTGCCTGTTTGGCCAGAGTTAGTTCTGAGCACTGCTTTTTCAGAGAATCAGGAACAAAATGGAACTTGGAGAAAAAAGTAGGCAGAAAGTATGTTTTTCATATGAACACTAAGAACTCCATGGAATCAATACAACAGTGCAGACTAATAAAAAAAAACTTATAATTTTATCAGAAAATTATTCACAATACATAGGTGAAAGCTGAAAGCTATCAATTTTAGCTCCTGTCATATTCTATTCATTTTAACTGCAAATTTTGTTGCCACCTAGAAAAAGAGAAACTATACCTTCATGTAGTGTTTAAAGATGTCTGCAGCCGCATGCATGTCAACAATATCATAAATGATAAGTTTGCTGAAGGCAGCAAGTAGATTCCTTCTTTTATGTAAGGCTTCAATTTTATTAGCTTCATCTTCCTCATCACCCTCTAATCACAGAAAATAAACTGGTTATGAATTATGGTACTTTTATTAAGACAATCTGTACAACTAAGAACTACTTTAACATCATAACTTCACAAATAGGTACAATTCAGATATACGTATATAGTAGTATATATGTATTTGCACATTCATAAATACTGGGAATTGAACCTAGGGTGTTCTATATGCTAGGCATGTGCTCTACAAATGAGTTACATCCTCAGCCCAAAGTAAGTCTTAAATGCCACAAAAATTGTTAGTGAAACCTATCATTTTGAGTGCTATTTAGTTAATATCTATCTAAAACTTAGTAGGCACTAAGATACTAATTTTCTAGATTATCTCAGCAAAGATTAAAATAGGTGAACATATGTGAAGAGACTGTTTTTTGATACTTTTACCATAATAACAACTGTCAAGTTGTCTGTCTTAAAAAAATGCTGTCTTTTCTAATTTAAATATATCTATGCTAACATATCCCCACAGAGAAGAAACTTCTGGAAATTTCTGAGGCATGGGCAAAAGGTTTTAGGAAGATGTTTGGGAGACTAATCAAAATATATGGAACAGTTCATTCTTGGTGCTTATCTAAAACATGATTATATTATCAGTTGAGAAATTGTTAAGCTCATATACATGTTTTTTAAAAATTCTATAGAAAATTTTCAAAACAAGTAGTGTTCCTTCCTCAACTTTTTAGTCTCACACCCCACTGGGTTGCCTATTTATAATACTAGAAAAAGTTTTCTTGCAACACTCCAGAAAACTTGTTTTGGGCTCTCTAATGACCTTCTCATGTCCTGGCCTGCCCTTATTTGGGGTTAGCCTTCATTCTTTTCTTCACATGTATACCTTTTTCTAATTGGTCCTGCTGGGAAGTATCAATGCTCTGAGAAGTTGAAAATCTGAGAAGTAGGTAAGTCTTGTCTCCCGAGATTAAACTCTAAATCAATATACTTTGTTCCACAGTCTATTATTTTCTGTTTAGCAAAGAATATTTATATGTTTTTTTGGTGGTGCTAGGGATTGAACCCAGGGCCATGTGCGTGCTAAACAAGAGTCCCATCACTAAGCTATACCTCTAGTCTAGTAAAGAACATTCTAATAGCACCAAATAGATGTGTGGATCAAATATGCCCCTCTTACATTACTAGTTTGGAGAGCTTAAGTAATTTATTTTGCAAATAAGGTTTTCTAAACATTTATATACAACTAATCATTAACAATTCAATATAATTTTGCAGTTATTATATTGCAGGCTCAGCACAATTTGACTAGTGAGGCTTGTTAATCATCTTTCACCATTTAGTATCTTAGCTATATTTCGTTCACTTAAGTAATATATGACAACTACTGGGGAACAGAAAATAACCTTTTCCACTAGAAAACCTGCACCGGGATACAGTCAATTAGAAACACCTAGCCTACATATACATTTATACATGTGGGAAATGATAAATGTCCAAGATTATTCATTATAGATGACAATAGCTAAAGATTAGAAAACTATGTCAATGAATGTAAAAAAGATAATAGTATAAATTATGTTATAGCTACACAAAGAAGTACTATATGGTTAATAAGGAAGCTGCATAATGATAGGGAAAGAACTCTGAGATAGTATAATTTTTTTTGTGCAGTACTGGGGTTTGAACTCAAGGCCTCACATTTGCTAGGCAGAAGCTCTACCACCTGACCATGCCCCCAGCCCTTTTTTGATTTACTTATTTTTCATGTAGGGTCTTCTGTTTTTGCCCAGGGTTGGCCTTATAGACTGTGATCCTACTACCTATGCTTCCCATGTAGCTGGCTTTACATGAATGCACCAACACACTCAGTTTCTTTATTGAGTTGGGGGTCTTGTTAACTTTTTGCCTAGATCTCAGCCTCCCGAGTAGCAGGGATTACAGTGTGGGCCACTGTAGAGGGCCTCTAAGGTACTCTTTAAAGGGGGAGACATCATTATGTACATTTTTGTTCTTGTTGGTTTCTGAAATAAATATATTAACATTTTAATTAATTAATTTTGTGTTGGAAGGATTAAACCTAGGGCCTTGTGCATAACAGATAAGTGCTCTACCACTGAGCTACATCCCTAGCCCAATATATTAACATTTTTTTGTGGGACAGAGATTTGAACTCAGGGCTTCACACTTGCAAAGCAGGCAGTCTACTGCTGAGCCACACCTCTAGTCCATTTTGCCTGGTTATTTTGGAAATGGGGTCTTGCAAACTAATTGCCCAGGCTGGCCTTGAACTGTGATTCTCCCGATCTCAGCCTCCCAAGTAACTAGGATTTCAAGTGTGAGCCACCAGTGCCCAGCAGCAAATTAATTTTTTAAAAGAAAAATATCAGAATTTTTAGGATTGAATTTGATTTTTTTCCTTCTGTCTTTTGAGATTGATAAAATGAGATTAATGTTGATAAGACGATAGCTATAAATACCCATGCTCTGGTTTTCCTCATCCTGGTCAATGAAAACATGATCCATCACAAAACTGAGAAGTTCAGACTGAAGTCCAGTATCTGGATTAAACACCAAAGGCTGAAGGCCCTCTCTGCCACCTGTCATTAATTGGTGGCTAAAGATCATCAAAAGATCACAGAGTAACATGAAAGCCTGGAATGCAAAGGGAATTCATTAGCAAAATAGTGTTTGAACAAAGATACGTGAATGAAAACACAGTAAATTATAATACAGTTCAATAGCAATGCTACAATACAAACTGTAAGTATTTAAATTTCATCTTTTTAGTTTCAATTTCCCAACCTAATAAAATTACTTTTCTCATTAAATGGTGATTACATTTAAGACTTCCTTCTCTAAATATAATGTTTCTTTTCTATGAGTGCATTAACTCAAATGCAGCTGATCAAGAAAGTTTGGGTTAAACTTAAAAAAAAAGAGTTAAATTCAACTCTGGTAATACAAAAATTTATTAACAGATTATGACATACACTAGAAATCAATTATATACTGTTTAATCAACTAGCATTAGTGTTAAGATAAATTCTACAATTCAACCCATTATAACATAATACTCAAAGCCTGTAACCTACTATTTGGAATTCTTTTTTAAAAAAGTCTAACACAAAGAATGTTTTAACTGTAGGTTAAAAGTTGAATCCAATACCATTAATATAAAATTTAGAATGTGAAAACCTCTCAACAAATTTTATCATATGGTAACTTACAACCCAAAGTATTATACGTAATTTACCTACTCTGAAGTACTTAATGGGTAGGGTAAAGTAAACATGTGTAGTGAATTTATAGTAAGTGATTTTGTTCTGAGACTCCTGAGGGCACCGAAACCACAAAACAATGCATTAAAACGCAGAGGATAAGAGATGATTTCTAAGGGAAAACCTACCATTTGGGCATTTATTTGAGGATGGTTACATACCCGGCTGCTAAACTCCAGCAAAAGTCATGGCAGTTCATGCTCTGACTCTATAACCATGAAATGTACTAAAATACATTAAGATATTTAGGAAAACCCAGTGGAAAAGATGGACACTTAAACAGAATCCAGAGGAAAATCTTTTACCCAGCTTATTTTGGATATCACTAAGCAAGTTTGATGCAGAATCATTGGATTTTTGGTTTAAATGGCTAGAGCTGGGTACTTCTAATACAGCACTGATGGGGTTCTGAAGACTTAGCGAATAAGGATTAAGGAAGATTATCTCTGTTTCCATTTTTAGTTAAATGCTGATATCGCAATGAAACGAGACTTGTGGCAACTCACAAAAGAGTAAGAAGAGATAGCAAAGGATAAATAATAATGTATTCTTTCACTTGACTAACCTTCTTTTCCAGCCCCATTTATTAAAATTAGAAACAGTACAGAAAATGTTCATATTAAATAAAAATACTCCCTAATAGAAGAGTACAATTAAATAAATAGTTTACAAAATCACTTTATGGAAACAGAGTTCCCTGGGCCCCACTCTGACTCTTTTTGGGCTATGCCCCACTCCAAGGGATAAAGAATGTTGAATCAAAAGGATATCCCCCCTGCCCACTGCAGCCGACTTCTCCATCACTGTCCAAGTACACACACTCAGGAATCCCATTCCCTAAGGACCTGATCATTCTCAAAGCCTGCAAAAGTCCTCCTCCCTAAGCATACTACGCTGTCTCCAGCAAATGTACTCCTAGGCCTCAAGGTGGTCAAGGGCCACCTGTGTGGAGGAGTGACACACACAGAGTTTGACATGGGGAATGAACTGGTCACAGACATAGAAATGAAGCTCTTCTTGGAGTGAAAAGGAACTGAAAGTAAGATTACAAGAGGGCAGGTCATGGGTCAGCTTGCTAAATCTTCAATGTTCTAGCACAGAATTCTAAATTTGAACTGAGTCTTCCATGTGATAACAATATACTTGTCAAAGTATGAGAACAGAATATATTTATGTAGCAACTTTGTTAGCTTGCTTTATAACTTAAAATATTCAGACATCCATACTCTTGTCCTAGGCTCCAGATGTATGGTAGGGATAGATATATAATATGCTTAAAATTGACATAAAAATTACATCTTCTCAATGTTCATCAATTCATTTGGGTTGTTTTTATAGAGCACTTTCTTAACTAATAATTTCTTACCTGTTCTTTAACTGGAGTATTAACATTAGATAGGCACTGTTGGCAAACAGCCAAAAAGGATTTCACTGTTTTCCTCAACACCAACAAATCCTCCTGTAAGACACATTGAAATATGGAAGTATGAATTGCAGTATCCTAGAAAACTAATCCAAAGAAATAATAAGACTAAAACCAGCCAAACTGGCTTATTATGAAGGAAATTCACAAAGTCAAATTTATTACTGGGAACCAATTAGTATAGTTATTTTCTAGTTATCTGACCTAAGGGGAAGGGCAGAGAAAGTGACACCACAAAATATTCAGTTATATTTAGCAATGGAATCCTCAGTATTACTGTTCCCAACAAATTTTCCTTTATAAATACAGCTTACTTATGCTGGTATTAAAATTGTCAGTACTTTCTATAACACACACTAAGTAGTAGGTAAGATGACAGAGTACAGTGGTACACTGATAAAAAAAAAATCAAGTAAGCAAGAAACATGGGTTGAACTTCTCCCGCTTCACTACACTGTAAAATATTAAAGGAAGAAAGATAAAACTTCATACGTAGGAGTACTTTGTTTAATCTAAAATTGGATAGGTAAATAGAATTTTACCAGATGGTCAGATAATAATCTATATGCAAGAACATTTGAAAAGTATAAAGGGAGATTTACTTTTTTTATGTGTGTGTTACGGATTGAATCCAGGGCCTTGAGCAGACTCAAGGCTCAGCAAACACTGAGCCACATCCACTGCCCCTGAAAAGAAATTTAAATGTATCCAGCATCTGCAATGGATCAGGCACTGGTTTGAGGGTTCACTATTACATAACTTTTTATGTAGTTTCTACCACTGGGTGCACTATTGTGCACCTTCACTCCAACACCCAGGGGCTAAGGCGAGAGGGTTACTTGAGCTCAGGAGTTTGAGACCAATCTGGGGAAACATTTGTCTCAAAACCAACCAACCAAACAAACAAAAACTAACCCTCTAAAATATAAACAAAAAGACTGTAAAGACTCTAAAAAGTAGTAATTACTAGCAAAGTGTCTCAAATTGGTACTGAGTAGAGCTCACTTTCTCCTGATGAATGAGTAAGACAGATGCAGATAATTCTGCATCTTTGCTGGTATTTAAATAGTAATAAAGAGTTATCACTTGAGTGAAGGCCAATATAGAAATCAATTAAAAAAGATACCCCGGTAAAGTAAAATTCTTTAAGCTATTCTGTTCTGTATTCTGCTTTGGCATCTTCACAACCCAAATACTGACCCTATGAAGATTATATGCATTTCCTCTTGCAAAAATGAGTGCAAATATTTGGAAGAAGGATTGGACAGTAGGGACACTATCTTGAGGACCTTTAGTGATCCTACAGATAAATATTTAACAACTATGCCTCAGCATTCCTTGAACTTTTAATTTCAAGCATTCATAATCACTGGGGAAGACAGGTGAGACCACAGCCAACTATAACAGAATATAGAGTGTTATGGTAGGACAGAACATTGGCCCTATGCTAGAAAACCTAAGCCAGAGTCAAAAGTAGTCACAGAAGGGTTGCCAAAGATGACATGTCCTGAAGCTGGACAGCAATTATCCTAGCTTTTCAAAAAAGGTATTCCAGACAGGACACAGAATGTTCAAAAGTATGAAGGTGCTGTTGAGGACCTGTTAATTTATTATAGTTGGGGCATGCACAGAGAAGAGAGTGGCAAGAAAGAAAGCAAAAGAGGAAAACAGGACTCATTCCCACTTAAATGGAAGGGGCCCTTAAATGTCATGTTAAAACATTTGGATGTTATCCTGATGACAATAAGAAACTATTGAAGGAGAATGGTTTTATAGGAGCACTAAAGAATGATGTGAACTTGGGCAGTTTAAGAGTTAATACATTTTCGAAACTATTGTGAATAGTACTATTTTCCTGATTCCTTTCTCAGACCGTACATTGTTTATGTGTACAAATGTTTCTGCTTTTTTCTCCCTGACTGCCTGAGGATCACTTGCCATCATGAATGACACAGAAACTATCCGTACCAGGAAGTTTGTGACCAACCATACTTCAGAGGAAGCAAACGGTCACTGATGTCCTTCATCCTGGGAAGGCAACAGTACCTAAGACAGAAATCAGTGAAAAACTAGCTAAAATGTACAAGACCACTCCAGATGTCATTTTTGTATTTGGATTCAGAACCCATTTTCGTGATGGAAAGACAACTGGCTTTGGCATGATTTATGATTCCTTGGATTATGCAAAGAAAAATGAGTCGAAACACAGACTTGCAAGACATGGCCTGTATGAGAAGAAAAACACCTCAAGAAAACAGCCAAAGGAAGAAAGTCAGGGGGACAGCAAAGGCCAATGTTGGTGCTAGCAAAAAGAAGAAGGAATAAGGATTCTACAGTGACTTATACTGCAACGATGGTGCAGGTTTTCCATGAGGATTAATAAACTGTAAACATCTGCGATGGCTATGAGCTTTTCATAAGGATTAATAAACTCAACACTTAAAAGTTTCTGATTTTTGTGTACTGATTTTGTATCCTATTTTCCTGAAAGTGTTTAGGAGATCAAAGGGTTTTTTGGTTGAGTTTTTAGGGTCTTTCAGGTATAGGATCATATCATCTGCAAATAGGGACAATTTGACTTCTTCCTTCTCTACTTGAATCCCTTGTATCTTTCTCCTGTCTTATTGCTCTGGCTAGGAATTCTAGCACTATGTTGAATAAGAGTGGGGAGAGGGGACACCCTTGTCTCATTCCTGATTTTAGAGGTAATGGTTTCAGTTTTTCCCCATTTAGTATGATGTGGACTATAGCTTTGTCATATATATAGCTTTTATAATGTTGAGGAATGTGCCTTCTATTCCTAGTTTCTTCAGAACTTTTATCATGAAAGGATGCTGAACTATGTCGAAGACTTTTTTTTGTATTATTGATATTATGATGTGGTTTCTTGTCCTTGATTCTGTTTATGTGCTGTATTATGTTTATTGATTTGTGAATCAATAAACCCTTGCATCCCTGGAATGAAATCTACTTGATCATGGTATATGATGTTTTTAATGTGTTGTTGGATTCTGTTAGCAAATATTTTATTAAGGATTTCTGAATCTACGTTCATCAATGAAGGCGACCAACCAATACAATGAAAATTAGAAGTCACTAAAGAAAGAAATCAATAAACACATTCCATGCTCATGGATTGGCAGAATCAGTATTGTGAAAATAACTATACTACAAAAAGCAATCTGTATGCTCAATGTGATTGCTACCAAAATTCCAATGACATTTTTCACTGAGATAGAAAAGTCAATCTGAAAGTTCATATGCAAGCACAAAAGACCTTGACTAGCCAAAGCAATCCTGAGCCAAAAGAGCAATTCTGGAGATATCACTATTCCTGGAGGTCACTCAAAAAACTAAAAATAGAACTACCATATGATCCAGCAATACCACTTCTAGGCAGATATCCAAAGGAATGTGCTCCAGGATATGATAGAGCCACTTGCACACTCATGTTTATTGCAGGACTATTTACAGTTGCCAAGTCTTGGAAGCAGTGTAGATGCCCCACGACTGATGAATGGACTAAGAACATGTGGTATATATACATAATGGAGTTTTATTCGGCCATAAAGAATGAAATTATGTTGTTTGCAGGTAAATGAATGGAACTGGAGAACATCATGTTAAACAAAGTGAGGCAGACTCAAAAGTCAAAGGTGACATGTTTTTCCTCTATGTGAAGCTAGACCTATAAACAAAATATATATATGGATACAAACACATGTATATAATGAGAGAGAGAACAAGACTGTATTAGTGAGTCTGTGTCAGGGGACTACGGGATGCTGGAGAAATTTTTTTTAAAAGTTAATGAAAAATATTGAAACAATCCTTCTATATATGAATATAATATAATGCTCTGTACTGTAAACTGTTGAATATTATGGGAGCATGGCGATAGAGAATGAGTAAGTAACTGGGATTGAAGGTGTTAATTTGATTAACCCCTTTGACTAACAGGCCTGAAGTTCCAAAGGAATCCCCTGTGGACTACCAATATACACTTACCAAAAAAAGGGAAGGAGGGAAAAACAGGTCTTTTGCAAGGGGGGTACTAGTTGGAGGTTAAGTGGGCACAAGGAAAGGGGGAATGAGGGTGAATATGGTGGATGTATTTTGTATCCATAGATGAAAATAGAACAATGAAACTTGCTGAAATTGCTCTAAGAATATGGGAAGGGGGGAAGAGGGAGAACCATGGAGGTGGTAAATCTAAGATATGTAAATATCATAATGTATACCCCTGTACAACTATTATATGCTAATAAAATTCTTAAAAATTAAAAAAAGTCAATATGGAATTTTTTTGAGTTTATTGTGTACCAAGAACTGTGTTCTACGTTCATAAATATAAATCTCACATTTACCTTGTGAGATAAACAGAAATACTGCTATTTTATAGACAGGACACTGATAATTTAGAGCACCCATGGATTCTAAATGACAGAGTACAATGGAGGGCTGATAGATATAGTAAAATTCCTATTTGGCCCTTGTCCATATTCTGGCATACAACTCCTAAAGTCCTTATACTTCATTACTTCCCACAGTGATGAGTATCTTTTTGCATGCTTGGTCATTAAGGAGGTAGCCAATGTTGGGGGAGGGCAAAAACCAAGAAACTACTGAGACCATGAGACATGGTGTAAAGGAACTATTTCATTTTTTACTACAATGGATTTTGAGAGTTGCAAATTTAGGAGCATTATCTTTTGTTTTAAAAAGTCACAGATGACTATACCTAATTCAGACACATAGGATGTTATTCCCAAGGCAACAGCCAGGCTGGTGCACTAGATAAAAGCCACTGTTAGGTCCAATTACTGTGAGAAGGGGGACTGCTCAACTCCACCAATAAACGCCACATGGAACACTCCAGATGAAGAGGCCGAAATGCTTCATGCAAGCCACATGAGACTGGCTTTATGATGGCTGGGATATCAACCCACTGAACATGACCATTACTCAGGTCATGGTAGATAATGTGATTAAGGGCACTCTTTTATTGTGGACCTTTCCATATAACCTTACTGTTG